AATAATCTATAATTGTTAGCTATATGTAAATTAAATTATGTAGTTATAAGCATTAACAAACTGTGATTTATTGAATGAGTCGACTTAATTAATTCAGATGATGATTAAATAAATGATTACAAATTGCAATGTTGATTTTTTTCTTTACATTTTCTTCCTTCATCCCCCCATACAAGAATTTAAAACAAGTACTCCAATTGTAATTCAGACCTCTAGTCTAGCACTAAGCTTTCTATTAATCCCCACCCATATTCCAACAGCTTTGATGTTTGGAGGTTTTATAAGCGGACCCCAATTCAGCTGATTCTTACTCTTTTCACCTATCAGGAGACCTTTATAGGGTTTTTAGGGGAGAAAATTGTCGAATGACTGCTCCCGCCTGGGTGAGGCGAGAGGGAGTGTCAGACTCTTACTGACTAAAAACCACCCCGTTCCTTCTCCTGCACGTCGAGTCGGAGCCCCGGTTACCCGTTAGGGTCTCTGCGACACGTTTGGAGGGTATAACAAGAGGTAGGTTCGAAATTGTTGGTTTTTGTCCAGGATCTTCACATATTTCAAATAGATAGGAACAACTTAATTTATCTTCAAAAATTTATAGAATTTGTCTAAATTCATTAGATATATTTGACATTTTATAAGTGGATTCACTTCACCCATGGCCATTCCCACCCTGTCCAACCATAAGCAAATGGTGGCTTTCCAAGAGGTGTAACATAAAGGGGGTTTAATAAAATTTTGTTATTTTTTGGTTAGAACATCTAGTTTTTGATATATTGCTGGATTTTCAAAAGGTCTCGTCGTGAGGAGAAATAAAACAAAAAGATGAGGTCAATGCATGTTTTATTTTCATTTAAAATGTCAATTACACATTTCCATTAAGCTGTTTCACAGCCAATAAGCCCTTAACTAAACCTACAGCAAGATACTAATTTGAAACCTAATCACCTTGACCTTGCTCAATTCATAAGCCAAATTAAACTAGTGGAACTTACAAAACATAATAAGAAAACAATTTTGACTGGTATTATCTACAACTATACAATACTAAGGCCTTTTCGCCAACTTCTCCTAAATGGAGATTGAGATAAGAAGCTTAACAAAATTTTAGTTTTGACAAATGTATTGACACCTAACAGTACCAGTAAATCCTTACTTGAGGACCCGATAAGTTGCATTTTTTCTCACGCTAAGTAACTTTTAGTTAAGTGACAGTTTAGATGAGATTGGTGAAAGCGGCCATAAGACATTGTTAAATTTAAAGAAAATTCTAAAAAATCTGTTTATTAAACAAGCACTGATATGCTGTTTAAGCGAAGGCAGTGTTAAATGTTGCCGATAGCTTTGCACAATAACTACAGATTGTGAATGTCTAGACTCTAGACATACATACATAAGATCTCCGGGCCACCACGACACAGGAACAGTTTAAGTCACAGTTAGTCATTTAACGTCTCTGAGTACGGCACCAACTCGTAATACAAATATCAGCGAGCAGTTTCGAGTTACACAGTACAAATTACAATCTTATATTCTATCGTATTAGAATCTAATTTAAATAGCAACAACAATACTAGCAACTATAATAACATAAAATACTTTGGCGCAATACGTTATAGGAACCCTTAACATCGAGATTCTTGCTACGTACCTAATTACACTAATATCTTGCTTCATCTAATAAGCACGGCGCCAACGCGGTTGAAGCACGGCACCGATACAGCGTTTTTTATTTCGAAACGATACAAAAAGGTTATAAATCCAGCGCGCGGGCGGCACGCTTACAGTTTTTTTATATTGACATTATAAAATATGTCATACGACATACGATTTAAAGTTTATATTTTAATAATAATTATTTTATTCATATTTATACTATTATCCAAATACATCAAGTAGGCATTACCTGTATATCAGAAGGCAGTACCTTCCCATTACATTTCTGATAGTATTTAGATGGCAATGACATTGTTGGGTTGGAGCTGTGCCGGAGCTGTGCTTGTTAGGTGTGCGGATGACCTTAAATCCTTAGGCTGGTTTAAGTGTCGCGCTGACCGCACGATGACCGTCGGCGCTGACAGCCGAGACATATGAACTTCTAGAACCGTGCGCGCTGATAAACACTAGCTATAAATTCATACAATTCGGTTGTCAGCGCTGACGGTCAGCTTCCGGTAAGAGCAACATAAAACCAGCCTTACAGTGTACTAGGCAAGCACCTTATAGAGGCCTAATTTTTTGGCGCCACTGTCACTCTATGGTCAGGTGGACACGCGCGTGTACGGCATCACTCTGAGGGCTTAGTATGAGTTTGATTTACTTTTAAAGTATTCGAAACGAGTACGCGTTCGGCACTCTGATTGGCAATGAAGCAACCAATGAAGCAACCAATCACAGCGCCGAACGCGTACTCGTTACGATTACTTTAAACGTAAAACAAACTAGTACTAAGACCTCTGTACCTGGCGCCTTAGACACTTCCCTAGGTTGCCTTAGCAATAATACGTTACGTCTGTTTACATCTATTACAATTAATTTTAAATTGGTCGGATTATACAAAATTCTGCGAAAGAAATACATACATTATGCATATATTTCGTCTGAACTGTGTATCTAAGTGTTATCCTATTTATTCTAAAAAGTATGCAAAATACTTTAAGCATTAATGCGTTTGATGATTATAAAAAGGCGTATTATATGAGCTGAATAAGATACATTTTGCTGAGTTACAACTTAATACGAATAATGTATTAGTATAATTGTGAACTTAGAATGATAAACTTATAAACTATATACAAATATATTTAAATTAAGTACTTATCAATACTTACATGTACTATTTTTACCTACGAACACTAATCACACGATATCAATTTCTTATGTTAATTAATAAAATAAATACATATTAACAATGTAACATAGTGACATGGGGGAAATAACTAATCTCATAACATCACACCTTCTATCCCCGAAGGGGTAAGCAGGGGTGCACATTACGGCACTCAATGCCACTGTACAATGTTGTTCCACTTTTCACTATTTATGTTATGTGTCCCATGTAATAGGGGATGAGCCTAACTAATCACACTAATATTATAAATATAAAAGTTTCTTTGTATGGATGTTTGTCTGTCAATCACGCTGAAACTACTGACCCGATTAAATACTCCCATGGGATAAAACAGGAATACGCGGACAAAGCCTCGGGTAAAAGCTAATTTAATAATAAATTAATTATGTATGTATCGTTTGTAGAAAAACTACACAAGAAAATGCATAAACCAAATGAAGAATTTTACTATGAATCGTTCCTAAATCCATCTGTGTAACTATTAATCGTAATGAATAATACTTTTAATTAGCTATTCGATTTTTTCTCGAAAATCAGGTCTCATAAATAATTTTTTGCCTTTCAAAATCTTTTAGTTGACCTTGTTTTTTCAAAATCTATAATAAGTACTTGTATTTCAAGTCAAACAGAATTTGAAAAAGACTCGTTTTCTTAAAATGTATGCTAAGTATAAATATCAAATCAATTTATTTGTGAACACAGGTTATACAGAAGGGTGTTTATAGAATTATAAATCGGCTAGAACAGAGGCTCTATGGAGCAAAGAGTTTAAGCTGCTAGGGCGTATATAAAGAGGTCTAATTGTCCAAATTATTTTATTATAGTTCAATGATGTTAAAAATTAGTTATTGAAATTCTAAATATTATATTAATACCCGAATACTGAAATGCTTTTAAGTTGTACTTAAACATTGTACCATCTCTCTCATTACAAAGAATTCGTAGTGACAGAACTATACTTAAGCGCGACTTAAATTGAGTGTCGTTTGAGTATTTGGACGTCATTTAAGTAACATAAGTAGTTATTAAATGCATTAACTACTTATTGACGCTTTTTAATTATCAAATGACTTTGACCTTGGATCGTTTAAGCCTGTCGTTATATTTTATTTTATTTTCAGCCATGATCGTCTCACTGCAGGGCAAAGGCCTATCTACCTTCCTTCCACTCCTCTCTAAGTACAGGTTTTTGCGACCAATCCTTGTCATAGATGTCCATTTCGTCCCGTCAGATGGCGGAAAGGAGGGCCAAAAAAAGAAGTTCGTTTTGGTCAATCATTATAGCTTAAAACCAAAATTTTTCTATTTTGTATGGATCGTCAACCTTTGATGTTAGTTATTGTACTTATTTCTAAGATTATTATTATAATAGGTTCATCGCAACATGATAAGACTTATAGTGGATTAAGTAGATAAAAAAAAAAAATATCCTTTCTTCATATCTACTGTAACGTTAACTGACGCTATATAAAAGCACAAAGCATAATACCTATAAAGGTGATTTAAATTCAAATACAATAATTAAAAAATACTTGGAATCCAATCGCTAATGATTCCATGATGTACTTGATTAATATACATAAATAAAAACTCTTGCCATTTAAAAAAATATGTTTTAGGAACACGAATGTGTAGCTAATTTTAATACATATTAGTCTATGAGAACATTTTTATCAAACAAAATCCAAGATTTTAGGCCTACATACTTAACAGATTTTTTTTTCTTATTTTTTTTAACTAACCTATAAGCATACGTTTTTATACAATTCAAACAAAAAAATTAGGAAAGTAAGTTTTTTTATCTTTCATGGAATCTCTAATTTTAGTTCCTTGTAGTTTTACGCGTATAAAATTTTGATTACTACTTATGTTCACATGAATACTGTTTTCAACTACTATGTTTACCGGTGTTAGTGTGTCGCGCAATGCTACTCATGAATATGAACCTCTAGCGTGGTTCGAAATTAGTCGAGATTCTCATCATAGATCGTGAATAAGCCGGTATATATAATAGTTGATTTTAATATCTCTTACGAAAGTTATAATACAATACTGTTTTCGATTCCTAAATGCTAGAAATAAATGAGACAACAGTACTGGAAGGGCTGACGATACCTTCACTTGTGTCTGGGTTGACCTGCTTGGCTGACTGTCAGCCGAGCGCGTGTGTCAGTCCGTTGTTCAGCAAAGCGGTCTGGCTGTCACTGTGCAGGTCTGCCATTGGTACAGTATCGTTCTTACGCTTGCGTTCTGAACTGTGCCACGCACCATATGTAATGTAGATTAGGAGACCTGGAAATAACAGAAAAAAATAAATTAATAAGTGATTTTGTAGTAAACTTATTTCCGAAAGGATTAATAGGGTAGAAGAGATCTTATCGCTAAAAGTCAATATATCTATTAGACAATCTTTTAAAAAGTAAACTTGAATTGTCAACTGTCAGTATCAAAATGTTGGGCGTCGGGGATCGCGAGACCATCTCCGGCCACCGTAAGCACGGGCCTACGGGCAGCGAGCACTGGTGACTCGCCGCCCGACCAGGGTGCTTACTCTTGAAACCATTCTCAATGTCAATGCAATTTTAATCCAATAAAATCTCAATAATTATTCAATTTCAAACCTATACAAACCCCTAACGTAGCTGTTAAAATAGCATTCAGAGTACGGAATATAAAGCCAAACTCAATACCATTTAGTTCATTCAATATCCACGCAATACGGATGCAATGGGCGTTAGGTTTGCAACTCAAGAGTACGAAATTTCACAATACCAATGTCGATCGATCGGAATTGGATTCAAGAGTAAGCCCCCTGAACCAGACTCGAGCGTACGGTGCGTCGCGTTCCGCGCACACCTCAAAGAGCCACCAGACCAACACGGATGGGGTCCAATAGGTCTGATACCAAAACGGAGCTGCGTATGACTAAACGGGTTGCCGTGGCTCCGGCTCGAAGGGCAGAAGTAGGAACGGGGTGGTTTTTAGTCAGTAAGAGTCCTTCCTCCTCCTCCTCCCGCCTCACCCAGGCGGGAGAAAGTGTCAGATCAGATTCAGTTTTATTTTCTAATTCAATTAATTTTCATGAGTTTCTATTTGTAATTTGTAAATGGCATCTGGTTTAGTTCTAGTATAGCGAAATACTATTTAAAGCTAGTTGTATGTCACCTTATTCATTTTACTGGTCAGACCAGTTATTTTAACATAATAACATAGGCAGTTCATTTTTAACTATTACTCTTGTTACTCTCCGAAGGTTTTCTAGTTCCACCACCTTGAACTGGCAACTTAAACTATACACAAGTTATTTATTATTTAACTACTAGCGGATCCGACAGACGTTGTCCTGCATATAATATAATAATAAGTATAGATAAATAACCTAGACACCGACTTCAGCGCCATCTGGCGGGCTGATTTGTGAATCTAAACCATTCCCAGATCCCCTTGAACACACACAATAAATTTCATCAAAATCGGTCCAGTCGTTTGAGAGAAGTTCAGTGACATACACACTCACAGAAGAATTATATATATAAAGATAAGTACATTAATAAGAAACAACAGTGTTCACAAACCAAAACTCCATAACTACCAGTCATCAGCCTAAAGAATAGTACCTACATACATACGTAAACAGTATTTACGTTTTTTATAAACATGTATATTATGTACATTTTAAATATAACGAATACCTACTTTACATTATTTTAAGATAATTTCAAAAACGCATCCTGTATCATAAGGAAATTGCATCGTAATAGAATAGCAATCAAAATATTAACATTTAAGCATTGGACCATATAGTTACCATATAAGTGTATACAAGAACGGATACACTGACGGACACGGACTGCCTCGTTGGCCGAGTGGTCGCAAGTGCGACTGCCGGGCAAGGGGTCTCGGGTTCGATTCCCGGGTCGGGCAAAGTATTACTGGGTTTTTAAACATTCTCAGTAGTGGCACGGAGTCTGGAATTGTGCCCGGTATATGGCAATAGGCTCACCCCCTATTACATGGGACTCATAACATAAATAGTGAAAAGTGGGTGTTACATTGTAATGTGCACCTCTTGCCTACCCCTTCGGGGATAAAAGGCGTGATATATATTATATGTAAGAACGGATACACCATATAAATGACACATAATCGAATCAATTCATATATCTATAAAACAACTCGGAAAGATGAAATAATTATGCAAAGAGTAAGAAAAAATAATACGTTAATTGCTATATATATATAATTATATATACTTCTAGAAAAAACCATATAAAGTCTATAAAATTGTATACGGAAATACTAGTTTCCGTATATTGGATTATATTTTTTTTGCTGAGACGTTTTGACGTGTTCGATGACTAGATTAAGAAATGATTAAGTGTTCACTAAGCTAGTTCTTTGTTCAGATAAATGGGGTAATTTGTAATACACTTCGGAGCATGAAAAGGGAAACACTAGCGTTTTTTTAATTTACCTAACTCTATATAACTTTGTGATATATAAAATGTTCAGGTGTTTTCATTGTTGTATCTACTATAGATCCTGGCTTACAGGAGTTGCAGCGGTTTTGGGAGGATGTGGCGGACTTGTCCCATTAAAAAAATATATATAAAATGTTTCTTTCACAACAAAATGCTCTCATTTAAAGCCGACCATACGACACGTATACGCTACGTTAGCAATTAATAAAATACTTGTATCACAAAATATTAATCAAGAAATGAAAATGAAGAACGCTCGCGGATCCGTGTCTTTCCTCTCAAGTGTAGTTTTAATGGGATAATTTGGAGTTTCATATATGACAGAAATATTTGACGAACAAACAGAACTACAGTTTTACGGGCGCTTAGAATAAAAATAAAACTATATTGACTTGTTTGTATTGTAACTTTCGTGAGACATACTAAATAAATTATTATATTTTCGGCTTACTCACGTAGTAATTTGACGAGGAACTCGACTAGTTTCAAGCCATGCTAGAGGCTCATATTCATAGGCAGCATTTCGCGACCCGCGACGCGGCAACGGTCGCGCTGCTACCGACTTGCATATTGACAATATTGACTTGCATAACATAACATTAAAATCAAAGTATTTAGCAGTGTTACTAAACACGAGTTCAGCTGTAACTTTATAGCAATTACCTAATTACTATAACGTAATAACAGTATTATCGTGTCTTAACAAGGCTCTTGAAGTGACAGCTAGATATATATGCTAATAGTTTTTAATCCGAAAGTAATAATTCAATCATTCCTTTTAACATAACCGACTTCAACTCCCTGTTTTTTTAAGTCGATTAATTAATATGTATACTAAAGCCTTCTCCTAAGTATACCAAACACTTTTCTGAATATCTCATCCAAATCGGTTAAGCCAATCATGACATAATCCCGCACAAACATAAATACAAACATACAATAACTTCTTTGAGTTCCTACACCGCACTATATGAGCAATATTAGAGTTCAACCCTAACAAGAATGTATATATACATAAAGACCACACTGAGGACCTCTTTTTTCTTTTTATGCCTTTGACTGCCAATAGAAAACTGATGAAGGTAAATCCTTCAGTGACGTCAGTCACCGGTATTTAATGTGTTAAAGTCAGTTAAAAACGAGACAGTATCTAAGTTTGTCTATTATCTCAAACTGAAAATAATAGAATAGTTAAGGTCCCGGGAAATATCTTTTTTCAACTCTTTAAGGGGCGTGAATCTGAGATATAACGTTTTTGGAATACTTTTTTTAGAATAATCTTAATTAATCATAATTTTGGAAAAAGGCAATGAAATATGAAAGGCCAGAGAAAATTCCCGAAGAAATCGCGGTTCAATGCTAGCAACTTGATAAATTGTTACAGCTGACCTACTATAATACAATTTATACGACCTATAATATAATTTATTCTGAAAGTGGTGAAAGTCAAAATTTTGCTAAATGTCACACGTCCTTAGCCAAGAGGCTATCATTGGAATACGGACAGTGGAGTGTGGCCTCACTGGTTGGGAATTTGATTGCGTCGCAAAAATCTGATCAAGAAGGGCAAAGTAGTCGTTTTACTCGGAACAAATACTTCCTAAATCAAAGTTATAAACTTAGCTTGGGCTTTATATTAGGACTCATTCAGAGCAAAGGTTCACCAACCATTTTTGTTTAACTAACATTATAGGAAACTAGCGGACCCTACAGACGTTGTCCTGCATATACACTTGAATAACCTAGACACCGACTGCAGCACCATCTGCCGGACTGATTTTTGAATCTAAACCATTCCCAGATCCCCTTGAACCCACACAAAAAATTTCATCAAAATCGGTCCAGTCGTTTGAGAGAAGTTCAGTGACATACACACTCACAGAAGAATCTATATATATAAAAGAAAGTCGTGTTAGTTACACTATGTATAACTCAAGAACGCCTCAATCGATTTAGATGAAAATTGGTAGGGAGGTAGCTTAGAACAGGGAGGTAGCTTAGAACTTAGACGGACATAGGATACTTTTTAAACAATACTTTTTTTTACTTTTTACCGAAAATCACGAACGGGAACGGGGGAAAATGGGATTGCGCGTACGAAGTCGCGGGCAGAAGCTAGTTATATATATGTATAAAGGTATTGAGAAAAGGTCCTGTATCGCATTTATTACAAACTTAATTCCATGCCTTGTAAAAAGAATAGTTCATGTGTTAATATTAGAACGATCAGATTAAAAACCACAAAAAATATATTTTCTTTTAGATCTGGTAGGTAAACCAGAATTGTTCCTATGATCATGTAAACACGAGGAAACGATGTCACGTGAATGAAACGACACTAGACCAGTTTTTTTAAAATTAATTTACATAATTATATCACATCACAATCATAATTATTCTAATTTATTTTATTCGCTATTTTTACAACCGCGTAGGTCTAGTAGACGCAAGGGCAACTGTTTAGCTCGAGGTTCTGGGTTTTTTCAAATAGTGAGTAATATAATATTTTAATTTTATTAGCTATCAATTTCCTAATTTTAAATTCTAGGTATTTGACAGATTTTATCATGTGTCTGGCAATGGGCTGCCTTCCTGTTAATTGACGCAAGGAGGTGAACTATGAAAAAAGGTTGATATAAAACAGAGATCTATCATTTAAATATAACTGCCGTCAAAAAGGGATAACCCTCAGATCCCTATTCCTAAGCACTCAGTGACGGCTTTCAAAATTGCTGGACAGTATGACTGTCAGTTAAAAAATAGTACTTCCAATAACTGAGTCCAAGTAAACGAACAAGCAATCATATTGCTTTATAATGGGTATAAAACGATATTATTATGCATAAAGACTAATAAAAAATATTCATACTAATTATTTATATTCATATCACAGGTTTCACAAATATTTTTACAGTGCACTTCACAAAATCTAAATATTTTTGCAGTAAAAAGCTAACAAAAACAATTCTATAAAAATTACTTTAAAATATTCCATAAAATATGCAGATATGTGATAAGAATTTATATTCATTAAAATTAATTACATATTAACATAAAATAAATTTATTGCGATTTTGCAGTTTTTGTCTTTTTATTAATTTATTTTAGTGGCAAGTCGAAACTGCGCTAAAAATAATAGTTACCTAATAACCACATTATAGTGTAGTGCATACATTTATGCATGCACTACACTATAATGTTATACATTAAACATATATATACCATATATAGGTACTCGCCCATGACCTTTGTACTGCATCAACATTGCAAATTATTTTTCTTCTCAGTTCAGTAACATTGTATAAAGATCCAGTCTGCTAAACAAATACCCAATTAACATAGAAGTTAAACAGGAACAGAATCTTCCTCCAAAAAAAACAAAAACCAGCTCAAAAAATATTTTAGACAAAGATAAAAATATCATATCGATCAAACGAGATTCTACATGTCTTATCAAATACGTTGATATGGAACATAACTTTTATCTATTGGTTTAAAAAATAGGTCTCCGTATATAAGCCGGCAAGCACAAGAGCTCGCCTTTATTTCACACGGACAAAGCAGACGTGACGCAACTCCTATAACTTAAAATGAACAAAATTCTCATAAGACTAGTGATTGTTTCGGCCATTGGGGTTTTGAGTCAAACTTCACGAAATGATATCCCAGAAGATGCCACGATGACCTTCAGTGAGCTAGCTGACAAGTACGGGCACAAAGCTGAAGAACATGACGTCATCTCTGGGGGCGGGTATATCCTGACGCTGTTCCATATCCCTGGAGATAAACATCGGCCGATACTTCTCATACATGGCGCCATCGACTCCGCCGACAGCTACATCATGAGGGGCAACACGTCACTGGTCATCGCGTTAGCAAGGGACAAATACGACGTGTGGGTCATGAACTACCGCGGCAACAGATACGCGCGCCGACACACCAGCATGGACGCCGACTCTAACCAAGAGTACTGGGACTTCAGTCTCACAGAAATAGGATACTATGACGTACCAGCTAACATCGACTATGTTCTGAATAAAACTGGTGAAGACAAATTAAGTGTGATCGGATATTCAGAGGGAACCATGTCCATGTACCTTCTAGGAGCCACGCGGCCCGAGTACAACGATAAAGTTAAGATATTCATATCGTTGGCTCCAGTCTGTACCCTAAAAAACACAAAGCCTTTGGCGTCAATAGTAATACAGATCGCACCGTTGTTAAACGTCGCACTGGAAGCGATCAACAGAAACGAGTTATTGGGACAGAACTCAACGTTACGAGCCTTATTAACCGATTTGTGCTCTCAGAAAGTTGGATACCAAGTGTGTTTGATTAATGGACTGTTTCTTCTGACTGGTGCTGATGCTAAGGAGATAGAGCCAGAGTTCTTCCCTGTGGTTGTAGGACACTTCCCGGCTGGAACTTCAAGGAAGAATATAAACCATTTAGTGCAGATAAGCTTAAGCGGGAAGTTTAGGGACTATGACTACGGAATGATGAAGAATATGGAAAAGTATAGGAGGTTGACTCCCCCGGAGTATGACTTGAGTAAAGTGACCATGAAGGTTGCATTGATCGCAGCTAAGAATGACAAGTTATCTACCATCAAGGATGTTGAGTGGCTAAGGGAACGGTTACCAAATGTGGTGGACTACACGGTCATGAAGAGTGATGTATTCAATCACGTGGATTACATTTGGGGCAGGACTGCGTACAAGACATTGTTTCCACATATATTCCGACTACTGAACAAGTACAATAAATGAAGTTCTAGAATTATAAGACTGCTGAAGTGGTGACATTGTGATGCCAAATACGGAAAGTGGTTTGGTGTCAACAAACTTTTATAAGTACCTAGTATTTATGTGAATGTGAATTGTTTAAATTACTTGTTTGGATGGATTTTTGGAGACTTAAATTCAGGTGGGATAGTCACTAATTAAGTTATTAATAAGTTGTTAAATATACGTTCTTCTTACTTTTAGGAGGTATTTATTAAATACATGCCTATAGTCACTAAAAAAAATATTTTCAATATTAAAATCCTATCATGATTCACTAACCCTGCACAGATTAGGCACTCAGAACAAGTAAATCCTCAATGTGCAATACACATAACTTTACTTAAGACCTGTAGCATACATAAGTCAGGAGAAAAGGGATAATATACAATAATATATAAGGTATATAGGTATATAACTTCAGTAAATAAACTACTTTCTGGACAGTAGATAGATAAATTATTTATCTTTCATTTATCGAAATAAAAGATTTATCAGATAGACTTCACTAAAAGACTAACAAATAAACAATTACAGATATTCTTTACAAAGATATTGTAAGAAGGATGGTTGACACTTCAGGTGATTGGAGGGCTGGCTACTACCTTGGGCAAAGGTTGAGTATTGCCATTCAACGTGGCAATGCTGCCAGTTGTTTGGGCACCCTACCTCACGATAGTATTTATTTTTGATGCCTTAAGCTTAAGATAATATTTTTATTATTTTTTTAAGCTGTGAATATTTTAGTTTATAATTATTTGTATTTTAAGTTGTTATGTTATTTGAGGTTGTATATATATTCATACTTAGTTAATTAATAAACGAATGTCATTACAGATTTATTGACACACTAGTTACTCCTGCACGGTTCCATCTGCTCCTACTGGTCATAGCGTGATGTTTTACAGCCTTTCTCGATAAATGGACTATCTAACACAAAAACAATTATTCAATTCGAACCAGTAGCTCTGGAGTTTAGCGCGTTTAAACAAACAAACAAAAAGCTCTACAGCTTTGTATAATAGGAATCTAAAATATAAGATAATTAAATAAAAATAAGTAATAAATCCTCTATAGCCATAACTTGAGAACCGCTAGATCGATTTGGCTGATTTTTTTGTTGTGTTTGTTATTGTCAGGAGAAGGTTGTTATGACAGAAAAAAATTCTGAATATCCCACGAGAACGGGAGAAAATGGGATTGTGCGTGCGAAGTCGCGGGTAAAAGCTAGTATAAGATATTTTTCGACACTGAGAACTTTATTTTTATTGTAATGAATCTAAATGTATTTTACGTTGTGATTTCCTACATTTATTTAAAATTCTTTAGAATTACATAAAAAAAAAACAGAAAAATAATATTTAAAAATAGGAGCCGACTAGTAGCGGGAGCATGGTCCAAGCTACCGGTGGTTAGGGCTCCAGAGACAGAAACGTCCTCACGATACGTGCCGTTTCCAGGAGATCTCCTCCTGTATCAGACCCTTGATACATCTATTTGGTACGTCGTGATTAATATTATTAAGTAGCAAGCGTTAAGTAAAAGTAAAACTTTGAATGTAATTTTCTTTACAACATGAACATTTTGTAATTAACAATTAATAAAAAAAATAATCGTGCAATTCAAGAGATCTCACTTAGAAACCATGTCTTCCGTATAATAAATAACACAATATTTAAATGAAATAACACTTATTTCTTTGTTAATCCTTGAAACTGATACCTATCATACGAATTGGGATTTACACGAAAACAAAATGAAAAATGAATCTGTTTAACATAATTTTGTATAAAACCTAAACTCTACGGTGGCACGTCAACCAACCTTGTCTGTCAAATTCCTCTATCAACTTCAACTGTATTGAAATAAAGTCGAAAATCCAATGAATAAAGATAGTGTAGAGTAGTTTGATATGTTGGCGACTGTATATAAATATGAATTTGTTATTATAGTTATTAATTACATTAAAATATGAATTCACTACCTCGTTGGTCGCGTGTTTGATCGTGTGATTCCCGAACACCGTGGGAAATTTTGATAATCAATAATATTATTTATTTATATATTTTATGTACATATATATACACACCATTATAATATACAGATTTACATAGGACGACATACTAATAACATGAGGAATTTTTATAGAAAGAAGGCCCCAAAATAACTTGCCACAAGGAGTACTTTCTATGTATAAAAAAATAAAAAAAAAATCATTGACTTTCGCATATATGACATTAGATGTTTTACAGGCACACACGCGTCACTTACACTTTTTGCAATGGTTCACCAGTCACTTATTGTTTTAAACATTTTATTTCTTTGTAAAACTATTGTATTACCGAGACAGAACCATTTTACTTCGTGACGAAAATGAAATATATTTCACAGTGTATTATTGCAACAACATAACATAACATCAGGCTTTTTATCCTCAAAGGAGTAGGCATTATATTACGGCACTTAATGCCACTGTACAATGTAAATGTAACACCCTCTTTTCACTATTTATGTTATGAGTCCCATGTAATAGGGGGTGACTCCGGGCTACTATTAAGATTTTTTTTAAACCGAGTAATAACCTTGCCCGACTGTCGCACTTGCGACCAACGAAGCCAACGAAGCAGTCAGACATATAGACAGAGACACAGATAGCGATGTTAGATAAGTACGTAGGTATTGTTTTAATCCCTAGCAAAAACTCAAATATCAGCGAAATAAAGTCGAAACACAGAAGTAGGTATTTATTTCTAAGTAACGAACCACGTATAAGTGCAATCAATATCAATAATGACTATATTTTCTTCTGACGCGGGAAACTAGCATCATTAGTGCAACGAGGAAGTGGAACTAGATATTAGTATCAAAAAGGTCATCCGCGCGTGTAACGAGATGAATAAAAACGTGGAAGAAACAAAAACATGTACCGAACTTCAGAGCAAGGCCTCTGCTCACCCACATAAGGAAAAGCCCTGAATCTGCACTGGTTTCGCCGAACATCTATAAAACTTAGAATAAAACGCGAAAAAAATTAATTAAATTATGTTTTAAACACAGACAACTGATTGATGGGTTTAGTAATACATAAATACATACAAATACATGATTAATTTACATAAATTATGATATGTATCGGAATTACTGACGGATGTTGTAAATCTACATATACATACACGTGAACACAGACACCGGAATATATGTTTGCAAATAAATTATGGCAGACCACAATTTATTTAGACCCGAGAATCGAACCCCAGACCCCTTGCCCAGCAGTCGCACTTGCGACCACTCGGTCAACGAGGTAGTCAGTATAGGCGCTAATAATAAAATTATTATGAATGTTCGAGTTAACACGTGAGGGCAAAAAACCGGAAGAAAAATTACTTACAATATGACAGCTAAATATTAGCAATTTATTATAATTAAGGTCGCCATCGTTAATTTATTCATCAACTGCTTGACGTGTAAGTGACGTAGGGACTATGCGGTTATCGACACCAAACTATTGGAATTAATTTATAAATATGAACGATTTCCTTATTGATTGAATTGAACATAAACGATTCGCGACTTTATATGCTATATTATTATAATCGTTAATGTATTAAAAACTAGTGCCGGATTTCACGAGTTTACGAATCAAAATGTTTAATCCAAAATATATAAATGAATCGTATAAGAAACTAGACCTTTATCATAAACGAGTCTTTTCTACATAAGAATGGTCTGCCAAAATTTCCAAGTTTAGCAAGGGAGTTAGAAATCGCAGTATCTGTATCTATATAATTATAATATCTAGCTCCAGCTAAAACAGGTAAAGATAATAATAATAAAAATGCAGTAATTCCTACAGCTCAAACAAATAAAGTTATTTGATCAAAGTATTTAATCGTATATTAATAATAGTAGTAATAAAATTAATAGCTCCTAAAATAGATGAAATTCCTGCTAAATGAAGGGAAAAAATAGCTAAGTCTACTGATCTTCCACCATGAGCAATATTAGAGGAGAGGGGGGGGTAAACTGTTCATCCAGTTCCTGCTTCAGTATAAAAGGTTTAGGTTTATCAGAGAACTGTCCGATCTCTATTTTTATGAATGGGCCGACTTTTGGCCACTATCTCGCCTGGTGATGATGCGGTCTACGATGGAGCATGTCATCCCATAAGGAACCTATTCACTCGGGTCTTAAAAACACTTGAAGATGGAATTTCTTCTCTTTCTCCTTAGCAGTACGCACAAGGATGCTGGATGCGAGCCTTTTGTGCGTGTGGGTGGGACATATACCATGAATCGGTAACGTTTTACCAAATAATAGGGACGCCCACGATGCTAAATTCGGATATACTCGAGCGATAGAGACCTACATTTCTAAGATATGGTGATAGCAAGAAAAAATGGCTTAATTAAATTTCCTTATGTCAGTGGAGAAAGAAGTTGACAATTCTTCGAAATTGTCTAGCGTAACTTACTTAGTTTCAGTGCTCGAATGTAACATACATCGACAATGTTCGTATGCCGCGGTTTTCATTGAACACAGATTAAACATTAGAGATAAATATATATGCAATATATTATGTAAATTCTAACGAATACTATAAATTAATCTTTACAAGCTTTTGTCGCATCTTTTTCTGTGACGAAGTCATCGTTTCCTGACAGCGATGCGATATTTATACGTATTTATTCGATAAATTCTTTGTTTATTTATATAAAATGCACTTCTGTGGTATTAACATTCATGCAACATATTTTGTCAGAATGTCAAATATCGTAATAATAATATATGACTATGATTATATTTTTCTACTAGCTATTGCCCGCGACTTCGTCCGCGTAGAATATGAATTTTAGGACATTATTTTTTTGGTTTCAATTTTCCAAAGTGAAAGTACCTATGTTACTGCTTAGGACATCAGCTAACAGCCAATTTATTGGTGGTGGGAGTTTTAACTCCCGTCAAAATCGGTTCAGCCATTCCAGAGCTTAGGCAGTAGAAACAGACCGATAGACATAAAAAATTGTAATAAATGTTATTTTGGCATGTGTACCGTATGTATATTCATACGCATGTATTAGAAAGCGGTTATTTTGATATTACAAACAGACACTCGAATTTTATTTATCTGTATAGATGTATAAATGTCTAGCACATGTCTTGTTTAATTGTGTTACTAAGATTAGCAACACGGCATAATTCTTGCAAAAATCAAATAAATGAGGAAATAATTTATATTATAAAACCTGTGATTAATGTTGTTATTAATCAACACATATTATTTTCTGTGTATTTCGAAGTTTTCAGTCTATGTATAAAAAATATAATAATATCATATTCAGAACAACAAGCGACGTGGAGGCTCAGTGGATTAAGGTGTCCGCTTCTCATGAACGAGGGCGCGGGTTCGAAACCTACCAACGACAAGTGCCAATGTGATTTTTTCCGAGTTATATGTACTTTCTAAGATCATTTGGACACCACTGACAAACGGTGAAGAAAAATATCGTGAGGAAATCTGGGCTTATAATCTAATTATAAGTTTGAAATCGCCAACCCGCATTGAGCAAGCGTGGCGGTTAATGCTCAAACCTTCTCCGTGTGAGAAGAGGCTTTGATCAGCAGTGGGCACTGGGCACTTATAGGCTGTTGATGATGATGACGATTCAAAACAACAGATCGTATACCATACAACACAAGAAACAAGGTTGTTTATGACTTACCAGCGGCGATCCAGACTGCGAACCGTAGCCAGGTCATGTAATCCAGGTTGAGCATCAAGTACACGTTGATGAGGATACTTATACCTGGCAACCACGGGACTAGGGGGACCTGGCGGGTATAATATACAAGGTTATACAGAGTTCGTAAGTTATAGGGCTAAGTAACTCTTAATTAAAAGTTAAGAAAGGTGAGGGAGCACCTTAATTGACTCCTTGCTTTTACCATCAGGTCTCTATAGGTTGGGGAAAACTAAAATGTCGTTATGTGTCATCAATTTTAATTTAGGGGTACCTTAAAATTTAAGAGAAGTTGTCCATTTACCGCCACATCTAAATAGGTATTTTTACTGGTTCTCTAAAATTTAAAAGAATTTGGGGCAACGGCCAATAGCCAGGCTTGTTACCAACGAAATGTCAAAAACGATATCCTTATTTATGAATTTTGTACGAGACTGTGTATTGTGACGTCATATTTCAATTAAATTAAACTGTACTTCTATAGATAAGCACGGTTAAATTAAACAAAGAGTACTCTTCAGTTAAATTACACTAATATCAATAATAAATATCAAGGTACTTACAGAGAAGGCCAGTTTCTTATCGGACACAGGTTGTCGTGAGATGGCGACGAGAGTGACCACGACGAGTATAGTACCTACAGCCAACATGGCCACGGCGCCCACGTGACCTTCCAGGATGGCGTCGCCGTACTGATTGATACTTGACATCATCACGAAACACCATACACCTGTCACAAATAAAAAACATATATTTCAACATGTTACGGATTGGGTATTTGGCGATTTCGGGATTGTGGTTTGGGTATTGGAGATTGCGGATTGGAGATTGAATTTGGAGATTGGGATTGAATTTGGGGATTGGGGTTTGGGGATTTGAGATTGCTGATTGGGATTGAATTTGGGGATTGGGATTCGAGGATTGGGATTGAGAATGGGGATTGGGGTTGGGGATTGGGGGTTGGTGATTGAGGGTTGGTGATTGGGGGTTGGTGATTGGGGATTGGGGATCGGGAATAAGGGATCGGGGATTTGGGTGGAAGATGGAAGAGGATTATACCTTCGATAACCTCACTCAGACGGCAAAACACAACGCATGCGTTGTTTGACGCGGCGTTTAAGGCCGTGGTGTCACTCCGGTCGAGTCGACCCATACGCGGCTCTCTCGTATGAACAGTAATTTTTCGTAATGTTAAAAGACAAAGGGACTGCTTTCCACTGCCTTTGTCCAGCAGTGGACGTATTTCAGCTGTTGATGATGATGAAGATGTTAAAAGACAGAGATGGATTCACTTGGGAGTTGAGTGGTGAAGTCAGCATAGAATACATATTTCATCACGGTTACTTTTCCCGCGGGGGTAATAATTCAGATTCGACTAGGAAACTATATATTTGGCGGACACCGGGTAGCTGAGTTGTCTGATAAACCCGATTCTCTCTGATAAACGCTCGGAAAGCATGAATATTAAGGAAGAGGCATAGTCCTTTTTTTTATGGCATAAGCCGGTAAATGAGCAGACGGATCACCTGATGGTAAGCAATCGGCGTCGCCCATGGACACCTGGAACACCGGAGGCGTTACAAGTGCGTAACTGGCCTTTTGGGGATTAGGAGTTTGAGGATCGTTGGGAATTCAGGGATTGGGGAGATTGGGGAAGGGGAAGGTAATTGGGCCTTCGGTAACCTCACTCAGACGACGAAACACAACGCAAGCGTTGCTTCACGTTGGTTTTCTGTGAGGCCGTGGTATCACTCCGGTTGAGCCGGCCCATTCGTGCCGAAGCATGGCTCTCCCACACTTAAAACACCCCACACCTAATTTTCGGAAGGACTCTATAGTCTTACAACACATTCTCATAGACTGTTTATGATGGTATTAAAAGACATTATTGAACCAACGTACCGTAGAGAGTGACGAGTACGGAGACAGTGAGTGAGCTGAGCTTGGTGGGCAGCGCGTGTCGGTCTGCGTTGACGAGTTGCCGCAGCGCCGCGCGGTACGAGAACTTCAGCGGCTCCTGGGCGCGGTGCGCGGGCTGGCTGTACTCGTATCTGGGAGGCAAATATTTAAACTGTCAAACACCGCGAGGACACCGGTGACCGCAACCTATTGTTCTTTAATTGTGTCTATAATGACGGTACTCAAAGAGTTAAGTCAAGTCAAGTCTCCAATCTTTCGTAACGCCTCTCATGTTATCGGTGTCCACGGGCAGCTCCAATGAATGTTACCATTCCTTATTTACCTTATGGCTCAAATCTAGAATGAGGTTTTTTGTTCAATCACTGTACCAGTCAAAAATTTAATCTCTAATGGTGTGACATTATCTAATATAGTAGTTGCCTAAATTATATTTTAATGTCCGTCTGGTAGATTAATTTAAAACATTAGAAACGTATTTTTTGTTTTCTTGCAAAATTAAATACTTTCGACGATATAATAATCTGAAATATCGTGTGACGTCACAATACGCTACATTTTGTAGCACTTAGTGACGTAACGACCTCCCTCCTAAACTTTACTCCATTTTATCTAAGTATTGTAACTTTATACGAGAAAATAAAAAATACGGGTCTAATATTTTTTCATTATCTAACTGACGGACTAATTAGATTTTTAATTTTCTTTCCCTGGCAACTACCCTATTCCCTATTGAACGAAAAGACGAGAGGGTGACACTAGCTCCATCTGGCGGTATTTCCCATTGCTTACTATACCCTGATCCGTCTGATCTTCGGTCGTCATATGCCGTAAAAAATTGGAAATGGACCAAAGAAAGGATGTCCAAAATAAAGAATAATACGTAAGGTCCTTTTTTAAATGCTGGTATTATCCAAGGCTTTTCTCCTATACTAAATAGTGTGTGCATGGTTTACAAACATTATACATCCATACCCTCTCTTACCCTTTACACTCTTAACAAGTATTAAAAGGACGCTGTGTTTAATTTATTTACCTAAGCAGTAGTACACAGGACGCGACCATGGAGTACGCCAGTAGAGTGCCGATGGACATCATGTGGATCAACTGCTCCAGGCGGAAGATCATCGCCAGGGTACCTAGGGGTGCAAATTAAATCACGATATTAAAACTGCACTTAGATATAATCTTATACTATTATAAAAAGCAGAAGAGTTTGTTTTTTTTTTGTTTGTTTGTTTGAACGCGCTAATGTCCGTAACTACAAGTCTGATTTGAATAATTATTTTTGTGTTAGATAGTGCATTTATCAAGGATGGCTATAGGCTATAAAACATCACGTTACGACCAATAGGAGCTGAGCAGAGCGTGTGAAACCGCGCGAAAGTAGCTAGTCATACGATAAAGTCAAAGCATTTATTTCAATTAAACCATAATTTGGAACTTTTGAAACGTCAACAAATACAAAATAAATAATAGTCTGTCAGTCTGTCCGTCAGTGAAGCTAGGTGCTCATTCCAAAATATAGATTCGAATGAAAAAGAACGAGCAAGAAACTCCATTCGTTAAATACTCCATAGTTGCAAGTTGACTGCGCAACTCATCAATATGAGTTCCAGTGTGACTTGACACTAGTTGAGCGTTCCTGAAAAAGTTCAATGGGATTGAATGGGGATGGGAATGGGATGGGCGTTAACGTTTAGCCCAATCCTCTCTCATCACAAATACCTTAGCTGTTCCGGGTGTCCATGGGCGGCGCTGGTTACTATCATGGACACCCGGGTTACCATAAGGTGATCCGTCAGCTCGTTTGTCAATCACGTAAAAAAGTATACTATAATCTATAATATCGTACCAGTAAAGAGTCCAGCGATCATGGTCCCAATGAGTGGAGTCTGGAACCTCTCGCTGACCTGTCCCATGAACCGGAACAACAGACCGTCGGACGACATCGCGTATATAATGCGGGGCAGAGGGAACACTGCGCCGAGCAAACTGGAGATATATAAGAACAGTTATTTATTATATAAAATGGCAACATAGTATGTTATTTTCATAAAGAGTGACGCTGCAGTAATTTAACGATATAGGTTTAAAAATATATCAAAATACATGCAAATATAAATTAATTAAACATCACATTGTTCATGAATAAGATACCCCGTTTCACTTGAAATTAGAGGATTTCTGAAATTGATCAGTGCCTTTAGCCAAACGCCACTTAGCGCTTGTCTACAGAGAGAGTAGAAAACTAAATGTAACGTCAATTCCATATAATTTAATTTATTTTCAGTAAACCAAATTATATGGAATTGACGTAAATTTTGACACTTGTCAGTGTCATCCCCATACATTTAGTTTTCTACTCTCTCTCTGTAGACAAGCGCTAAAGTGGTGTTTGGTTAAAGGCACTGGTCAGATAAGTAAGCCATGTACTATATCAATCACTATCACTATGTCACAGAAGAAAGAACATTCACAAAATCTATGAATCTAAGAATTAAAGATATTTTTAAAATGAAAAAGCAATGTTACCTGGAGCAGAGCGCACAGATGGCGCCGACACTGACTGCGTACTTGGCCCACGGCCAGCCCAACTGGTCGTACACGAACGGAAACGGAGCCTTCTCGTCCTACACAAACAATACATTCCATTAGTCTTTACAAATATAGGATCAACGTTCATTCCGACAATATTTCCTGTGGGTCAAAATTTTCAGAAACAGAATATTTGATTGATTTGGCGTCGTTGTTGCTATATTTACACACAGATGTTACAAGATACTCTAAATTTGCCGCGTGATTGACGGACATGCATCCATATATATCCAAACAAAGAGACTTTCACATTTATAATATTAGTGTGATAACATACATAACATCACGCCTTTTATCCCCCGAAGGGGTAGGCAGAAGTTTACATTATGCCACTGTACATTGTAACACTCACTTTTCACTATTTATGTTATGAGTCCCATGTAATAGTGGGAGACCCTATTGCCATATACCGGGCACAATTCCAGACTGTGTGCTACTACTGTGAATTTTTTGAGAAACCCAGTAATACTATTTTATTAGTGTGATAAAAATCTTCACAAAATAAGAAGCTAACTTTGACAAATGCAGCTCTATGTATATATTACCCATGCACTTGAATATCAAATAGATGTTTATAATACAGAGCTGTATGGTGCAGTAGGTACCTGCATGTAGTAGGGCACCATGAGCGTGAGCACGGAGGAGACCCCGCAGTATGCGAGGAACACCACGAGCAGCGAGGCCACCACTATAATACAGAGCTGTATGATGCAGTAGGTACCTGCATGTAGTAGGGCACCATGAGCGTGAGCACGGAGGAGACCCGCAGTATGCGAGGAACACCACGAGCAGCGAGGCCACCACTATAATACAGAGCTGTATGGTGCAGTAGGTACCTGCATGTAGTAGGGCACCATGAGCGTGAGCACGGAGGAGACCCCGCAGTATGCGAGGAACACCACGAGCAGCGAGGCCACCACTATAATACAGAGCTGTATGGTGCAGTAGGTACCTGCATGTAGTAGGGCACCATGAGCGTGAGCACGGAGGAGACCCCGCAGTATGCGAGGAACACCACGAGCAGCGAGGCCACCACTATAATACAGAGCTGTATGGTGCAGTAGGTACCTGCATGTAGTAGGGCACCATGAGCGTGAGCACGGAGGAGACCCCGCAGTATGCGAGGAACACCACGAGCAGCGAGGCCACCACTATAATACAGAGCTGTATGGTGCAGTAGGTACCTGCATGTAGTAGGGCACCATGAGCGTGAGCACGGAGGAGACCCCGCAGTATGCGAGGAACACCACGAGCAGCGAGGCCACCACTATAATACAGAGCTGTATGGTGCAGTAGGTACCTGCATGTAGTAGGGCACCATGAGCGTGAGCACGGAGGAGACCCCGCAGTATGCGAGGAACACCACGAGCAGCGAGGCCACCACTATAATACAGAGCTGTATGGTGCAGTAGGTACCTGCATGTAGTAGGGCACCATGAGCGTGAGCACGGAGGAGACCCCGCAGTATGCGAGGAACACCACGAGCAGCGAGGCCACCACTATAATACAGAGCTGTATGGTGCAGTAGGTACCTGCATGTAGTAGGGCACCATGAGCGTGAGCACGGAGGAGACCCCGCAGTATGCGAGGAACACCACGAGCAGCGAGGCCACCACTATAATACAGAGCTGTATGATGCAGTAGGTACCTGCATGTAGTAGGGCACCATGAGCGTGAGCACGGAGGAGACCCCGCAGTATGCGAGGAACACCACGAGCAGCGAGGCCACCACTATAATACAGAGCTGTATGGTGCAGTAGGTACCTGCATGTAGTAGGGCACCATGAGCGTGAGCACGGAGGAGACCCGCAGTATGCGAGGAACACCACGAGCAGCGAGGCCACCACTATAATACAGAGCTGTATGGTGCAGTAGGTACCTGCATGTAGTAGGGCACCATGAGCGTGAGCACGGAGGAGACCCCGCAGTATGCGAGGAACACCACGAGCAGCGAGGCCACCACTATAATACAGAGCTGTATGGTGCAGTAGGTACCTGCATGTAGTAGGGCACCATGAGCGTGAGCACGGAGGAGACCCCGCAGTATGCGAGGAACACCACGAGCAGCGAGGCCACCACTATAATACAGAGCTGTATGGTGCAGTAGGTACCTACATGTAGTAGGGCACCATGAGCGTGAGCACGGAGGAGACCCGCAGTATGCGAGGAACACCACGAGCAGCGAGGCCACCACTATAATACAGAGCTGTATGGTGCAGTAGGTACCTGCATGTAGTAGGGCACCATGAGTGAGCACGGAGGAGACCCCGCAGTATGCGAGGAACACCACGAGCAGCGAGGCCACCACTATAATACAGAGCTGTATGGTGCAGTAGGTACCTGCATGTAGTAGGGCACCATGAGCGTGAGCACGGAGGAGACCCCGCAGTATGCGAGGAACACCACGAGCAGCGAGGCCACCACTATAATACAGAGCTGTATGGTGCAGTAGGTACCTGCATGTAGTAGGGCACCATGAGCGTGAGCACGGAGGAGACCCCGCAGTATGCGAGGAACACCACGAGCAGCGAGGCCACCACTATAATACAGAGCTGTATGGTGCAGTAGGTACCTGCATGTAGTAGGGCACCATGAGCGTGAGCACGGAGGAGACCCCGCAGTATGCGAGGAACACCACGAGCAGCGAGGCCACCACTATAATACAGAGCTGTATGGTGCAGTAGGTACCTGCATGTAGTAGGGCACCATGAGCGTGAGCACGGAGGAGACCCCGCAGTATGCGAGGAACACCACGAGCAGCGAGGCCACCACTATAATACAGAGCTGTATGGTGCAGTAGGTACCTGCATGTAGTAGGGCACCATGAGCGTGAGCACGGAGGAGACCCCGCAGTATGCGAGGAACACCACGAGCAGCGAGGCCACCACTATAATACAGAGCTGTATGGTGCAGTAGGTACCTGCATGTAGTAGGGCACCATGAGCGTGAGCACGGAGGAGACCCCGCAGTATGCGAGGAACACCACGAGCAGCGAGGCCACCACTATAATACAGAGCTGTATGGTGCAGTAGGTACCTGCATGTAGTAGGGCACCATGAGCGTGAGCACGGAGGAGACCCCGCAGTATGCGAGGAACACCACGAGCAGCGAGGCCACCACTATAATACAGAGCTGTATGGTGCAGTAGGTACCTGCATGTAGTAGGGCACCATGAGCGTGAGCACGGAGGAGACCCCGCAGTATGCGAGGAACACCACGAGCAGCGAGGCCACCACTATAATACAGAGCTGTATGGTGCAGTAGGTACCTGCATGTAGTAGGGCACCATGAGCGTGAGCACGGAGGAGACCCCGCAGTATGCGAGGAACACCACGAGCAGCGAGGCCACGACGGCGAACGGGATCGACTTCTGCGGCCGCCGCGCCTCCTCGCCCGCCGTCGCCACGCAGTCGAAACCTACGCAATATTATAGCTTATTGATTTGGGAATAAACACGTTTTTCCTATTACCTTATGTATGGTGGGGAAGTAGTAATAAGTAGTATCATCGTAGGCCACATCATCGCTTACCACCAGGCGAGATAGTGGTCGAACGTCTATATCATATCCCATCCCATCATACATCATATCATCCCATCTAATATAAAAAAATAAAATATAAAAAAAAGATTTTTCTTCTAATTCATTCAAAGCAGTATTTAAAGCAATCGAAAAATTACAAGCGCCTTGCCAATCTTTAAGGGGTTGGCGATATAGGGATTGGGGTATTGGGGATTGGAATTTGGGGTTGGAGATTAGAGGGTTAGGGATTTGGGGATGAGGCGAAGATTGAACTTTAAGCACCGTAGCTGACCACAACACAATTTTTGTTTCAGGCCGATTTTCGCAAGGCCGTGGTATCACTCAGGTCAAGCTAGTCCATTCGTACCAAAGCACGGCTCACCCACAAATCAGGCATTTAACGACTTTTGTAAAATTCTATGCCTATTTTACCCATGAAATCATAATAATATCCGTTTTCCATAAACGATGGCTTCACTTTCCATAACAATTTACAAAGCTACTCACCAATGAATCCGTAGAAGCAGACGGCCGCTCCCTTGATGATCCCGGCGAGTCCGTACGGAGCGAACCCGCCCGTACCGAAGTCTTTATGTTCGGACTTCGGCACGTCTTCAGCTGGGATACGCCAGTTCTTCGTGTCGGCTGTAAAGGAAAATGGTAGTTAAAGGTAGGTAGATTTTCAAACCCTATGTAAAACAGGTGAAAAAGCGCTATTACGAAGAAAAACAAAAAAATACGATACTTTGGTATACGAATGTGCTACGTCATCGTTCACGCGATAATGATTATGTACCCTGGTGCATTTCAGAATTAGTCGGGCATACACAGTACTTTATAAGCATGACTGCCTCGTTGGCCGAGTGGTTGCAAGTGCGACTAACGGGCAAGGGGTCTCGGGTCCGATTCCCGGGTCAAGCAAAGTAATACTGGTAAAGGTTGCCTGGTAGATATCGCTTTTAGCGATAAGGCCGCCTTTGTACCCTATTTTCTCTAATTTGTAGCTCGATATACTATCTCGAATTGGTGTACAATAAAGATTATTATTCTATTACTGGGTTTTACCTCAATAGTAGCACGGAGTCTGGAATTGTGCCCGGTATATGGCAATAGGCTTACCCCCTATTACGCGGGACTCATAACATAAATAGTAAAAAGTGGGTGTTACTTCTGTGTGCAGCTCTGGCTGCCCCTCCGGGGATAAAAGGCGTGATGTTATGTTATCTTACCTTTAAAAGATCCAGATATGATGACAAACAGTACGACACACAGGTTGACACCGGTGCAGAAGTTGTTAAACTTCGTCGACTCCTTCACGCCGAATGCAAGCGCCACTGTCAACATACAAATATTTTGTTTGACAAATATGTTACATTTTTATTACACAGACCACTTAAAATGCACATATCTGCTAGCATATAAAGGTACCTCAAAATGATAAATTTCTTTAAGCGATTTTCACCTCAAAATGTATATAAACATATAGCCACAAAGTCGAAAATCCACTGATGTGCGGTATCCGTATATTCGAAATATCCTTAAATCCTTAGCCTATAACGAATTTTCAAGTATATTGCATTTATAATATAACCGATAACTTCTATTGTATCGTAATAAAGTCGAGAATCTACCGATGTACTGACGTTTAAGCACACAAGGCTCAGATATTCACCTACAAAAGATTTTGAACCTCATTGCACTATTAATAAAGTCTAAAATACTGACCTGAGAACGCCATGATAACGGAGAAGGCGAATATATCTGGGTACTTCGCTAGATGTGGCGTGTCTATGGGCATGGCCGCTTCTAGGTGCGTAGATATAGCCTTGTTCGTTAGTGAATCTAAGTATTCGCTCAGAGCCTTCACCACCGATGCTGCACCTGAAATGTTTATATTAGAATATGAATAAATTTGAATTATACAATACAAATCTTTTATTAAATAAATTAATATTAATGTCCCCTTTCTTCAATTAAGAAATAAATATAAACTAGTTTGTAGGAGTTCAGAAAAGTTTCTAACTAAAAAATACTAAAAGTTTTACAAACATTGAGTGACTTATAATTTTAAGTTAACTTTGAATCCTTACTAATATTATAAATCTGAAAGTGAGTTTGTTTGTTCCGCTTTCACGCCGTAACTACTAAACCGATTGCTTTGAATTTTTGGCAGACGTGTAAAGTTAGAAATCCTGATTAAATAATAAAAGTATTGGTATAGATGGCACTGTGTATATCGGTATATGTCACATGGCTACTTTTTATCCTTTTGTGACGCAAGCGAAGCCGCGGGTAAAACATATAAAAAATATATTTACTTTCTACATAACTAATAACAATTTGGAACAACTGTAGAAGAATTCTATTCTGACGACACAGTTGGTGCGGGGACTGGGCAACCGGCTGCCCCGCAACATGTCGCGGTTCGATTCACGCACGGAGCAACTCTTTGTGTAATCCACAAATTGTTGTTCCTGTAAGACACTTCTTAAACTAGACATACTTATTATTAAAATATTACTTAACAAGTGTGTTAAACAATAATAAATATACAAGAATTGACTTATCTCACCAATAATATATTCTAGTATGAGGTTCCAGCCGATGATGAACGCGATGAATTCGCCGACGCAAACGTAGCTGTACACATACGCCGACCCGGCTTTCGGCACCCTAGCACCGAACTCCGCATAACATAGTCCTGTAACAAAAACATAACATAACATCATGCCTTTTATACCCCAAGGCGTAGGCAGAAGTGCACAAACTGGAACCGGAACTTTCCGGAAAAAAATGTTGTAGTAAGGAAGTCTCCACTTTTTGTTTTTGTTCCTTGAAGTTTAGGTAAATTAGCTCACCTTTTTCCGATCACTGGTGATAAGACACAAGTCAACACAACACAACATGACCTTATAAATGTTTTACTTCCTTATTATTATTTGCACAAGAGAAAGTTTCAACCTAAATAACAGCAAACAGGTAAATAACTGATAACTTTTTTATCACCGTAATGACATGTTAAGTCAAGGGTTTGCGATAAGATATCGGTAACAAATCCCATGGTATCGTGGTCACCACGAGTGTCCTTGTATGTAACGACAATATAACTACAAATATTAGTAGATAGTAATATTGTAGCAATTTTATGGTATCTCTAATATCTACTAGATAAAATGTATGTAAATATGCGCTTCATATTGTATTTAGACCCCACTGATAACTAATCTTACTTAATATTATTTTATAGAAAAAAATTGTAAGTTTGTGTATATTTTTGTTACTTAATCACATCCAAACAGCTAGAGGAATCGGGATGAAATTTGAAACAGGGGTAGGTTACAGTCTGGATTAACACTTTTTATCCCACGAGGCCGCGGGCGAAACCTCAGGCAGAAGCTAGTAATATTTATAAGTTGTATGTTTTTTACTATTTCACGTAACCGGTCTCACAGAAAACCGACGTGAAGCAACGCTTGCGTTGTGTTTCGTCGTGTGAGTGAGGTTACCAGAGGCCCAATTACCCTCTCTTTACATAATCTCCCTAATTCCTGAATCCTCAACGTCCTCAAACTCCTAATCCCCAAAAGTCCGGTAAAGCACTTGTAAAGCCTCTGGTGTTCCAAGTGTCCATGTCCAAGGGCGACGCCGATTGCTTACCATCAGGTGATCCGTCTGCTCGTTTACCCGCTTATGCCAAAAAAAAATGAGACACTGAGCAGGACTACATAGGTACTACAATAACTTATATTACTGGTACTTTCAGCTAAAATGAATAACCAAACTCAACCTAATATCTAAGAAAGAAAGAAAGAAAAACATTTATTCAGAAACATTTATTTAGAAAAACATATATTTATTATCTAAGGCTTAAGATCGATTCTTGACATAAATTGCATGGATTAAAATCGATTATAAATTCAAGCGTTATATTATATTACTAAGTAATACTTACCAGCAAAAGAAGTAGCAATACCAGCTAAGAGAAAGGAAATCACAACAGCGGGTCCTGCGTAGTACTTAGACACTTCACCAGGCAACATATACACTCCCGTACCTAGAGTACTGCTTGCCCCCAAAATCGTTAAACGTAGGGCCGAGGAAAACGATGAGGAACCCAATCGTAAACCGCAAAAAACGTTACGTTTCTGGATGGGAGGTCTCATAAATGTATTGACAGAGAACAGATGAAGTTGGGACTAGAAATATAAGACTAAGATGCTAATAATAGACATAAACTATACGTAGAATATCTCTTATTAGCTTCTCAATCTTGTACCCAAAGTCTTTTCTTCATGCTTAAGTCTGCAGTGGCTCAGATTCCCTATCATTTTCAAACTAGGTGTAGTGATTCTACTTGTAATGTAATTGTGAATAAAATTGTGTATATTTTAAGAGAAGCGAGGCGGCAGGGCTCTCTGATAAACACAAAACTTTCAAACTATACGATCTGCAACCCGCCAACCAATTAACAATAACATGTAAATAAAAAAACCAATTTCCATGGTGACGTGTAAACAATTTTTTATTGCGTTAAAAGTACTTTGATTTAATTGAAACACAATCACTACACCAATGCTTGAAAGATGATAGGAACTGCTAGACTATACCCTACGACGACGACGGTAACCACCAACTACCACGGCCATAACTGGCCATAAGTAATCAAGTAAATCGATAGAAAAACCATTACAACTTAACATTAGTTACACGTAATGGTTTTCAAGCATTTTCAGCAATAAAACTCGCGATAGTTATGTACTTTTAATTAACAAACTACCTGTACCCGGGAATTCGCTAACGTAACACATGTTCTTTATTACCGCAGATTTAGACTTTGAAACAAATATGTTTGAACGTATCATGTAAAAAGTTCTGATCACCATTAGCCCGTTGCTGTCCTCTGTCAGACCTCTTAGTACCCGAGTGTACGGCGCGTCGCGTTCCGCGCGCGCCTCAAAGAGCTATCAGACCAGCACGGATGGGGCCCAATAGGGCTGATGCCGATACGGAGTCGCGGAGAACCGAACGGTGGTTTTTAGTCAGTAAGAGTCTGACACTCCGTCCCGCCTTAATCAGGCGGGAGCAGTTATTCGATGATTTTGCCCAGGTAAAAAAAGACCTCTTAGTTTTCCGGATCCAACCACTGCCAGTAACAATTACGGACAACGCTCTACTTGACGGTATGTTTAACAATACATCCACTGAAATAAACTAACCTGCAAAAACACTGGCAACAGCAGCCAATAGGAACGACAGTATCACGGCAGGTCCAGCATAGTTCTTGGCAACATCACCAGCAAGGACGTAGACACCCACTCCGAGGGTGCTGCCGACCCCGAGGGCAGTTAGATCGAGGGCTGAGAGCACTCGGGCCAGTCGAGCCGCGCCCTCCTCCGCTGCTTTACGACGAGAGAGGACGCCATATGCAAGCCGGGCCACGCGACTAGCTCCAGCCTTGAGACCGCCTGGAAACAAAGATAATAGTAAAGTAACACACTTAAATATCATTATAACACCCACATTTTGCCATTTTCGCCAGTTTCTGGCTTTAAGTTTACTGAAATGCATAAGTTCACAAGTTACAAAGGATACCATTCCATAGTCCACACTATTTAAATACCTACTACTATCGAGCATTTTTAAAAACCGGAATATCTTAATAATGCTTTGCTCACCCTGAGAAACAAACCAGAAACACATTGTCTGGCAGTCGATCCTGCAACGCGTCCAAAGAAATAAGAATTACTGAAATCGTACAATTAGTCACCCATTAGTTAATAGATTCGTAATCAAAGACTTATAACTTGTCGAATTTTTACTGACTACATATGACGAGCAATTTAAAGATTCTTGAATAAGTACCTATGCAAAAATTATACTGACACAATGTTCAATGATGGGCCAACAAATTCATCAATACAATAAACGAATACGTACCGATCACCAATAAGGGGACCCGGGTTATTGAAGACGCCATTAATTTAGCACTTTGACAGCACAAGTGGTAACAGAAACTAACAATTGTAACAACCAATTAGGACACACGCAACGGGGTCATACTTCAAAGAATTACAAACGAAAATGGGCTAAAATTCAAGTCATTTTTGGTTTAAAATACCATTTCAATTCAACTATTCATCAAGAATGACCAATTTTTCCACATGATCAAACGTTACTACAATTAAATTATGTACGACCTATGTGCATTAGTCATTTATCTAGTCTATAAACTAGATTTGCATAGAAAAGGCCTTGATGACAACCTAGGCAACCGAAATGCTGACTCTGGCGGAAGTTCTGAACAAAGTGCAGTGTCAATGTGTGGGTACAATCGCATACAAAACTGTTTACAAATAGTAATAAAATGAAAATTATAATAGGAGTAACATTAGGGTTTGGTAAATGGAATTTTGGGACAAATTACCTACTCAAATATTAGCAATCTACGGTTCAGCATTCTTCTTTGTTTATCTTTATGAGAATTTGAATTATAACTAACTAGCTTTTACCCGCGGCTTCGCTCGCGTCACAAAAGGATAAAAGCAGCCTATACCAATACACACAGCGCCATCTATACCAATTCTTTTGTTTTCCCTCGGGAATACCAATATTTTCCGGGATAAAAAGTACCCTATTATTTAAACCGGACTTCTAATTTTACGTCTGCAAAAATTAGAAGCAATCGGTCTAGAAGTTACGGCGTGAAACCGGAACAAACAAACAAACTCACTTTCCCATTTATAATAGTATAGTAAGGATTAATCTCTCGATTTAATCTCTAAAATATAGTGTCACTCGTCTAATCTTTTATGTATTTTTTAAATATATTTTTTCAACCATCAGTCAGTTAATCAATAATATTAGCATAAAAAAATTACTTCCTTAACGAAAATTCCCGCAGAATTACAGGAAAACTACACAAGGTCGAACTATTAACCCGATTGGCATTGACTGTACCGGTTACAATTGCTGAAGTAGAACATTACTGAAAACGTCTGTTACACATATTTATTTATGCAACAACATTTTTAATTTTATTTTATTATTGACGCAATTAAAGTATTCTCACTTTGCGTCATTACTGATGTCACGTGACAGTGAAGTGGTTGGTTTTTTATACCTCTGTCAGCAGAGCAGCTACTATGCGTACAGGGTCCGATATTATAAATAACGCTATGTAGATCGTAAACGAAAGAACAAGTAATTATGTTATGTAACTAAACAAATCAGAAACACCAGCTACTCGAGTAACAATATCAAGTATGGTATGATAACCAAACAAACAAAATGTTATTTCTACCTTCACTGTTTTCCTTCCTCACAAAACACTAATCATCATATCAATTTCCTAAACTGAATTTCCCCAATGAAAAACATTAAAATAGGTAACTTTACGGTTAAAACTAATTGGCAAGATCACAACTTTTATAACTATACTAAAGAGATAGAGATAAACAGTGGGCGAACCATAATTATATTTTACATTTATTAAAAAAATATTAAATAACTTACAAAGCAACAGCAGGAACACCCACATGACGACTACAGCGGGGCAAATGAACGAGACTCTTGTATAACAGGAGTGACCGGCCAATATGGCAATAAATATGGCAGTACATTTCAATTGATCAGCCAGACATTAAGATATCAGCACGCCACACCACACACCAATTGGTACAGAATGCCTGCCTTATTCAATATTGCTTAGTTGACCTTCGACCAGACTTTAACACAGAGTGTATTGATCTGACTTACTATTTTTTGTGTTGCGGACAAAATGGCATTTATATGTTTAACTCATCGAGTACCGGTTTTATAGACACAATTAAAGAACAATAGGTCGCGGTCACCGGTGACCGCTTGGTGTTTGACAGTTTAATACTTGTTTTGGTATTATATACATATTATGCTGCAGCAAAATTAAATAGTTGCTTTAATAAATATTGTAAAAATGAAGTGTATCTTTAAACCAACTCATCTCATACCTACAATGTTTTGATTACAGTATAATATATTAGCACAACCTATAATATTGATTAGGACAGATATTAAAAAATACGTAAAACATTGTACCATACCCTTGCATAGAAATAATGAAGAGCACCGATTCTTATATACATACTAATTTACCCTCCCACATATTCATGCATTGTTATGCATGAATATGTCATATATTGCATTTATTATATATACAAGTAAAGTATATTGCACAATAAAATATTTTACGTAAATGGCATTAACTCGATGAAAATTTTCATTTATTACTTACTTTAAGGGTGGGAATTGTAATATTGTAACTAAAAATATTATAAATTGATTATTTTATTTAATGTATGAAGGTCAGAGCAGATTCCTAAAAGGAAGACTAAATTGTCTAGACATTGTTATCAAAGATTGTCAGATATCTCTTGATTTATGATATAATTGATAACTCGAATATAAAATTCCGATTATAAAAAGAATGATGACATGGTGGCATTGTACATTTTTAGACTACCCAGTTTTGTGACCCAAAATGTAGTTATACTAAAATACTTTCCTTCTTCAACCAGATCAGAGTGAAAGTAGACATTCTTTATCATTTATTTGCATTTTCACACTTGAATGAACATAAACTTTTTATACCTATGCAGTAAGATTTCAAACATAACTGCCTTACAGATCTTAGGTATGTACTATCAAGTTAACCAACATGATAGGGCACAGACAAACAGTATTGTAAATTTTTTTTCTGAAGTATAGGTATATGATTTTAAATCATATAAGATTTAACCAAAGAAAGAATTCAAGTATAAGATTTAACCAAAGAATATAAATTAATTAGAGAAAAACAACGACTACACAGTGAGTAGTACCTGTGCATTGGTATTTTTTAAATGTAATTTGTGTACCTAGTTTTTTACATTCTCATGTTTCGTTTTTAGACACACAGATAATTTGTTCATATTATAGGTACCTAGTATACTGATTACATCAACACTTAGGTATTATGCCAGTATACACTATACTACTACACTATAAGTGATACCAAGGAATGTTTGAATAAACATGTAGTAAATAAGCCAGACTAAATAAGGACTTCTGAAGACTCATATTTCTTTACAAAGAATACCTTAAGGGTCAATTCATAATCATTACACCTTTTAATACTTATGATACATTTTGCAGATGGCTTATGATTTATATAGGTACAAACTTTCCTAATTAGAATTATATTAAATAAATATAAATTAAATATGCATTACTATTGTATCAGTAATTAATATAAAACAATAATTTTTCAGTATAAAGTTAATATATGTCTACATTTTATATTTAGTATAAAATAAGGTAAAAGAAAATAACCGCGTAAACTTGTAATTTCTATTAAGAACATATGCCCTAGTTTTTTCTATTGATGAATGAACTACTTTGACTAGAACAATATTCAGGTTGTATTCAAATTAGTTTTCAGCTGGACTATGACAGGTAATAAATTTCTCTTTGATTTTCTAAGCCACGTCACAAATTCAGTAGAATTTAACCAACTGAACTAACAAAGTTATGACCATAAGGTTCTTCGGTCTAATAGAATAATAATAGAATTTTATATATAAGTAAATAGTCTGAGCTTACCGTCTTCATACGCCTGCCGCACCGTGTAGCTGTTCTGGTCATCACGACCACGCACCGGTTCATAGCCTCCCATCAAATTATCACCAGGAAAAGACATTTTAGGAAACCAACATAAAATCCTAACCTACGTGTATTAACTCAGTCACAAAGCATGGAAATATATAAAACTTTATATCGACTTGGGTTATCTAACTGTTGAATACGATATCCATTGAAATTAATACGTAAATGTATTTTCAATTTTGAATATGATTCTCAGAACCCATAGCCGCACAAGTGAAACGTGAAACTGACAGTGACATAGTCGAGTTTGACAGCTGTTGATGAACACGCGCTCGATAGGGATGCATTGATGTTTTTTCGTTTATCGATAAAACTGTGTCTCTAAAGAATCTACAAACGTACATAACCTCCCATGGTGGTAGGCAGAGACTATGGATTCAGCAACAGTCATCAGTCTGAAGAATCTAACAACTCAGTTTTAAATATTTCAAGGTGGACTCAAGGAAGTAAATTATAAGGAAGGAAATATGTTTAAATAACGTTCTTACCTGGATTATTCCAATATTAAATCTCTTTTAGTAATGGATAATCATAATCCACTAAGCCACGACAAATAGGAACCAAGTAAAATGTGAAACAGTTTGGGAGTAATAATTCTCACGTTAACTAAAAATCACCTACTGTAGTAGGTTGCGCGATATCGCCGCGCCGCGACCGCGCACACTTTCATGAGGAAGAAATAAATTAATTAATATTTAAATAACTAAGTTCATGTTTCCAAGACACCAAAACATATATTCAATTGTGTTACTCCACATACATACGTACGAGTGGTTATCATGCCTTTCCAATTATTGAACTACTTATTATCGACAGTCAGATATACAAGTAAAATACATCACTAGCACCCAGGTCTTATGTCAAAACGTGAAAGATTGCATCATTGACATTTACGGATGCGTTCAGAGAATCCAGTGCATAATTGTGATACGTTCAAAGCGATCACGTAAAAATCGTCACGCTTTCTTTTCTTTAAAAGATTAGCGCTCCCTACACTTATTATACAAGGTGTAGTTTTGAAACCGTGACATTTCTCGGGGGCATGTCACAGAAGTCATAAAGGTTCAATGTAAGAGAAAATCTTGGGCCAATAGTTAAAAATACGGCTATAACAAATCGTTTAAGTTCGACAGCCTATTTCAGAATAAGCGACAGCAATGTTTCTTATTGAAGTTTTATGGAATTAGGAATAATATCAATTACGTGTGAGTTTGTGTGTTTTGAGCCCCGTTATAAAGCTAGTTACAAGACGGCGGAGTGTAGGTCACACTTACGGTCACAGATTTCCGTAATTTACAGAAAAATGAAAAATATTTACCTACAATTTTTTTTTTTGATTCGGCCTCAGAATCGATAGCAGAGTTACCTCCTAGAAAATGACACGGCTTTAAAACAACACCTTGTTGTATACTATATACTCTTTGGATTAGTCACAAGTTTACCAGTTTTCACAGGTATCTTGAGTAAGTTATGTTTTATTGGTTTTTGTTATAGCATGAAATTTAGAAAGAGTATATTATAATGTTTTTATAACTATCGTGAGACATACTAACTAAAAAGGGCTAAGGAGGCTACGCGAAATCGCCGCGATCGCACACGCTGCTCATGAGAAAGAGCCCTTCTGAGACTCGGAGCAAACTTTCATTCTTCATGAATAGGACAAAAAAGGAAAATAATAAATAAAAACTGCAAATTAAAGTGTAAAATTATTTTATTCAACACATTGCGAATCTCATGGCACCACAACAAGGCACGTACGATCACTCGTTACAAATAATAACATCTATATACATATAACTAGAATAACTCGCTGTTAACGTTCTAAGGCCGTTGTTCTTAGTTATTTTTCACAGAACTTCATAAAATAACTTAGTTGTTCAATAACTGCGGTTTTGGCATATTTCCAATTTTGATAATTTGATATCTTATGGTTTATATAACATTACATTTATTAATAATGGTGCCTCATGCCTAGTGCAGTTATCACTTGATGGCTTATCGATAATTTTACTAATAATGCACCATTAAATATTTTCAGAAAATACAATTCTGAGTACTAGAGATGATTGCATGTCTTTTTTAATAAATCTACATTATTTCTTTTTTAATTTTGTAACAATGTAATTAAGTTATCGATAAAGTTCTGTCAACAATAACTTTTATAACCTTCATAAAATATAACGCTAAAATGTAATACTGAACTAAATAAATAAATAAAATAATTATACATCGCTGTGCGTTATATTCATCACATTGTTCTAACATCTTGCAGACGACTATGACACATTACATTCAAGAATTATGTTTTTAACAGAATTGAAATTAACCATAGTCATCTACAAAAAGCATATTTAAAAAAAAGAAATTAAACTGCAAATTGTATACACTCTGTAACTACGCGTTATACAAACGCGTATTAAGAATGTCTTGGCCACATACCACGCCTGCTCAATACCAAACAAGTAATTAAGAAAAAATCAAAGAAAACATGACCAGCCAGCTTGCTCAGAGCAACCAAATAAGAGCTATGGAAAAATAGACCATATACGCACTAAGTGCGAAACATATTTAAATGAAATGTCGACACTAACTTTTTTATATTGCAATTTACAAGTCTCTAGGTGCTTTTAACTTTAATATGTATCTTACACCACAAAACTATGTAGAATTAACTATTTATGTATGTATGTATGTTTGTGCGCGTATTATAAATTATTAAACAACATTTTTTACATCACCCCTGTACACAGAGTGTTCTAATAAGCAACTAAATTACTTTAGTACCACATCAAAACCTTCAATTTATTTAACGACTGTACATTTTTACTATTTCATAATTATGTAAAAGTGCTTTTTAACAATAATAATAATGTATCATTATTCAATTTATTTACAATCATCGTGTATACTGTAATGTGATGTCTGTTTATTGAAAAAAAATCATCAAAAAATAATAATTAACATAATATTTAAGGCACGTATTTATTTTAAACGTGAATTAAACTACTTTCGAACTCAAGTATTTTTTTTAAGTAACATAACACCTTTTTATCCCCGATGGGGTAGGGCAAAGGTGCACATTACGGCACTTAATGCCTGTGTATAATGTAACACCCACTTTTCACTATTTATGTTATGAGTCCCATGTCATAGGGGGTGACCATACTTCCATATACCAGTCACAATTCCAGACTCCGTGCTACTACTGAGAATTAAAAAAAAACAAACGCTCGACCCGGGATCAAACCGTAGAAGCCCGGCAGTCGCACTTGCGACCACTCGGCCAGCAATGCAGATTTTACATTACGAGTGCAAAAAGTAGTTAAAATCACGTAAAGTGGTCGCAATAACTTAAGATATCACTAACATAATATTTATACACTTCATTAAAATATGGACAACAGTATAAACTAACCCATTGTAATAAATTATTTTGAAAACATTAACTTATATCTTTTTGTTTCTAGTATTATTAATTCAAATATCGTTTCAAACAAATAAGAATTATCCAAATCGTTTCAGGTGACGACATGAGAACCTATTTTTTAGGAATCTGTTTAAAAATAAATCATAAGTTTACACTGTCGCCATTATTATACAAAAAACGAAAAAAAAAATACAACAACTTACTCTATTGTTATCTCTATACTAAAATAAAACTATCGTAATTTCTCGAATAAGTTAATAAGGTACTTAAACTTATTACTAGAATACATAAGGCCATTATTTTATTTCTCTATACAAATGCCGTTCATCAGTCGAATATATTTTAAGTATTTTTTTATAATCTGTTCATTAAGTTTCATGTCTAAGGCCCTTATAAATATTTCATCATGGCGGATTGCTACGCAAAATGCACAAAAGCAATTTTCATGGCTCAACATCTAATAACCATTGGCTCGACTTTAGTGCATGTCCTTAACGTTAAATATAAGGCCTCTATATAACACTATATGGTTCAAATGAAATAGTACTTGTAAACATTTTTTTTATATTCCTAAAGGACTAGGCACCACCATTAGCTTTATGAAGGCATGTATGTTGTAAAATCCGTATAAAATTTCTTACTTAGAAATCACTTTAAACTCCATAGCACTATTAACAAGGATTCTTTTCATTACTTTCAACTTTAAATATAATAAAATGTGATAATAATTATGTATTGTATACTGCTGATATAACAAACATTAATTTAAAAGCTATTTGACTATTAAATAGTATAATAACTACAAATATGCCTTTCTCACTCTAACCTCTAATAAGTCACTAGGTACCATAATACACAACATTTTTCTACAAACTTTACGTAAATAGAATAACAAAAACTTGCTTAACTCGTCGAGTACCGGTTTTATAGACACAATTAAAGAACAATAGGTCGCGGTCACCGGTGACCGCTTGGTGTTTGACAGTTTAATTAACTAAAATCGCGGGTTACTCACGTGAGTATACTGAGTAAAGCTGTACTAATTTCGAACCACAGAGGGGTTCTTCCTCATGAGCAGCGTGCGCGGTCGCGGCGACGTCGTGCAGCTCACTAACGTCGCCGCGCAGCCGTAGTAACTCGCGATTTTAGTCAATTTAGTATGTTTCATGATCGTTATTATAAAAACAAAACCTTGCTTGTTAAGTTTAATCTATTGCGCGACAAACCAACTGTTTGCGCAACCAGGATTAAACTGTCAAACACCAAGCGGTCACCGGTGACCGCGACCTATTGTTCTTTAATTGTGTCTATAAAACCGGTACTCGACGAGTTAAACAACCCGCACTGACAATTTTTCTTTTTGACTTCCATTGCGCAAAGTTGAATAAAAGAATTACTTACATGAATGTCTGAATCTAGAATTGTTGCGCAACAAATTGAATTAGAATAATCATGTTGCACATTAAATACAACTTTGTTTTATACATTCTGTGGTTACATAACTGTTTTATGACTCCAGCTAAAAAGCACTCTCATAAATTCACTTTTTACATTTGTTAAATATAATTTTTCACTGAAGTTTTGGCTAGAGCACTTTACCCACGACACGATTTCTAGGATTCATTCCTTTTAAACACCAAAGTGCATGGTAACAATTCTTAGACCACAATTTTTATTAAATTATATAGCGCAAGATCAAACAGAGATGCGCATTATTTGCGCCACTTGCGCAAAAAGTTATACAGAGGAATACCTAGTTTAGTCGTGTTCATCGCTGGAGTCCCGGTGGGCGGGCGAGTGCTAGGCGCGCGCGGAGGCGGGGTGGTACGTGATGACGTTGTGCGCGTGCGTGAAGGGCTGCGTGGGCTGCGCGGCCGCCGCCAGCGCGGGCAGCTGCAGCGCGCGCGTCTTGCCGCCCAGCGTACACCGCGTCGTCGCGCCACTCTCCACCTCCACCACTAGCTCTTGTCCCGTCAACCTAAACAGGAATATTTGTATCAGTAATGTATAATCAAATCAATATTGGAAATCTTATACAAAGTTGGGAACAAACTGGCTACAAGAAGTAACAATCCCCAATCCCAAATGCCCAATACTCAAAACACTAGCAACGTACTTGTAACAGCTCTTGTGGTGCGGGTATTAATGGGTGGTGCTGATTGGTTAAATCCCATCAAAGCAAATACTTACATGTTATATCTATTAGCCATGACACCCAGTAGTTCTCCGACCAAGTCCCCGGGCGCTCCAGTTTGGTTGACCACTGGGGCCACTAGTCCTACGACGAGGTCGTTTTTCGCTGATGGAATGCTGATCACTACTAGCTGGACATCTGTGCTCATTATACGGATAGCTCCGACCTGGACAAATAAGGGGAGATTTTAAACATCTTATTATCTCAATAGATAAACTTATTTTTAGACTTATCACATCAAAAAATGTAAAACATAGAATCGGACTAAAAATAGTGACCTCAATATTTCCTATATCGTGATTTAAAAGGAAAACTAGACCATTGCACAAAATACATTGTTTTCTATCATAATAAAATTTAAATACCTAATATAATACATACCTCAGTAATAGCAGTAGGTTTTTTCAACGGTTTGAATGTGTTGGCATCTAGTTTAAAGATATGCGAGTCAGTGACGAGCAGACATCGCTCGGCCAGTTTGTTGTATCTGTTGAACTTGTGCACTCGGCACGAGAACATGGCGCGACCCACCTGCTGGGACCTTTGGAGGGATGACAGCTGGGACTGGTATGTCGCTGGAAGAAGATAACATAGATATTTTTATTATTGATAGTGTTTTAGGGTTAATATAGCTGAGCTTTTCACGTATATATTATGTTGAGAATTTTTATTTGGCGATGTAAATTTTTTTGATATTTCTTTGAGATTAGAGCAATACAAGATTCGTAAGATAATCATAATAATATTGCTTAGAACCACAGTTCTACCGCAATTATTTTGCGCAAGTTCACATAGTAAGTTTGAGGTATTTTAAAATAACAGTTTAACACAACTTTATAACGTTTTCTATATAACTTACCAGACTTAGGATTGTACTTATTATCAGCAAGGTAGTCTCCCAACCACTGTCTATTTTGTCCCCATTGAGCGCGACGACCTTTCAGAGCTGAGGCGGCACAAATCTTCATCTTGAGTTGCGGCCACTGGTCCCGCGGGACAGGTTTGAGCGTGAGGTACGCGCGCCAGCGGCGGTAGGCGGCCTGCAGCAGCGCGGCGGGCAGGCGGCGCGGGGCGGGGGGCCACCGAAGGATCACGTTGCGGTTGCGCTGCAGTTCCTGCTGCAACGCCGCGATGTAGCAGCGGAGGCGGTAGCGTCTGTGGGGGACGATTTTGTTAGAAGGCTTGTGGTGGTATTGCGTCTTCTTTTTGTATTTAGAAAGTCAACAGCTTATTAATGTAGTTATATGAATTGGGAATACACATCACACTATCAATGCACAGCCTTACAGTGTATTAAAGTGATTTGAATTTGAATTTTTGAATTTCAATTTGCCTTATGCAGTTTCATGAAAGAATACTAGCTTGGAAAAGTGAAGTCGATACACGCTGCACAGTGACAACGAGTTGATGACAATTATCACTTAAGCCAATTACAGAGTTTAACGGCATTTGTAAGACTAGTGTAACCAAAAAGTAATGTAAGGCAAGATTAAAAGATAAGACAACATAATACAATAATAAGATGCATTATCACATCAGTTCAGTTACGTCTTAGTAATAAAGATTCTGTTGCGAATTCAATTCAATACTTTCTTAAAACTCGATATAACGAAAATGCATGGGATTGTATATAATGACCTCTAAGTTTCAAAATATGTACAACTTACTTCCAAGCGTTGTATATAGTATACGCGGCCTTCATCTTCTTGTACCGCATCCTGGCTAGAGTCCCCCGCCACAGTTTCTGCAGCAGTATGACGATGGACGGGATCAACTCCGCGCGAGCTGCTTCCAAACCATGCAGGGTTTTTGCGCTCCTGTACATAAGGCAAGGAATTAATAAACATGAGATTACTTACCTATCATTATTTAATATTAACATTTAGTTGAAACTTTAATTAGGATAGTTTTTTTTTTTTTTTAAGGGGGGAAAATCATCGAATGACTGCTCCCGCCTGGGTGAGGCGGAAGGGAGTGTCAGACTCTTACTGACTAAAAACCACCCCGTTCCTTCTCCTGCACGTCGAGCCGGAGCCCCGGTTACCCGTTAGGTTCTCCGCGGCAATTAGGATAGTTACGAGATTGCCTAAAGCTGTATTTGATTTAACATTTTAACCAGGTTGTATTGATTGTAGTTAAAAGTGCACTCCTCGAGTTATTTTTTTTGCATTTAAGACAATAACAGATAGAGAGAAATCTACCATATAAAAATAAGTCGGGTTTCCCTTCCTGACGCTATAACTCCAGAACGCACGAACCGATTTCCACTGTTTTGCATTCGTTGGAAAGGTATCGGGCTCCGTGAGGTTTAAATAAAAAAAAATCAATGTTACATAAAACGAAGCCACCTGGTTGCGAAACGGAGTTCACAGAGTTTGCTAGTGCATTATAAATCCGTTCTATTTCTTATATGTCAATGAATTCGACGTATTTTAGATAGAAATTGTGTCAAAATATGGATCAGCGTACGACTACGTAATTAAACATTGTGAATAAGGCCCTTATAATAAGGTAAGTTAGGTAACACTTTTATACAACGATTTAGTGTCTCTCGATTGTCTCGATTTAGTGGATTCATAAATTATCCCTTAACTACATTATCATATATCAAAATAGCACATATACGTACCTAATGAACAGTTTAGTATGTCCAAACTGTACGTCAGTAACATGTAGATCCCTCAGTAGCACCATGACAGCGTCCTTGTCCGAGTTCCCGCGGAAATTGGGCCACGTGTACTGAGATAGCATCTTGTATCGCTTCAGGAACCGGTCGTACCTCTGTCGGGAAGCGAACCCAGCACGACGGACGCGTACGTTCTCTACCAAGCCTAGGTACGCTACTTGGTGACGGACCTGAGAGGTGAAAGTTTAAAATAGAATAAGAATCGCGTATATTTTAGGAAAACACAGAACATAACACTACCCCTTCTGGGACAAAAGGCGTGAGCCTTTTATCCCTTAAGGGGTAGGCAGAGGTGCACATTACAGCACTTAATGCCACTGTACAATGTAACACCCACTTTTCACTATTTATGTTATGAGTCCCATGTAATAGGGGGTGAGCCTATTGCCAGGCACAATTCCAAATTCCGACCTACTACTGATTTTTTTAAACTCAGTAGCTCTTATCCCGACCCGGATATCGGACCCGAGACCCCTTGCCTGGCAGTCGCACTTGCGACCACTTGGCCAACGCGCCGTGTTTTAGGAAAAGAAATGGAATATTTTTATAATTACAAAAGCCCAATATAAATTGAAACAACACTAACTAACACTTTTGATGATATAATCTTAGTTGACTAATTAAGTAGTTAAAATATAAAAGACTGTAATTAATAATCGCGCTTGCGATCATCGACGTAACTATTTTTAAAAGGAGTGTCAAATTTGTAACATACATTAACACATTTTAAACCTTCGCACGAAGCGCTTCGCTTCAAGCTTCCTTGTGCGTACTGCTAAAGAGTGGAATTCTTTGCCAGAGTCTGTATTTCCTGAAGGGTATAACCTGGGAGTCTTCAAGGCCCGAGTGAATAGGTTGCTTATGGGACGACGTGCTCCAACGTAGACCGCATCATCGCTTACCATCAGGTGAGATAGTGGTCAAACGTCGCCACATCAATTATAAAAAAAAAACCTTATATTTACCACCATAGAGTTAAAAGTTGAAATGCTAAAATAACATTAAATAATTTTAGTTTTCATTGCTTTTTCAACCTTATTCCATACAAAATAGAGTACATACCAGTTGATCGTCCCAGTTAGTAGGTGCCTGGTACGGGTTGGGTTTGACACACCGTACGTAGAACGGTTCCTTGCTCTGTAGGCCGGTCACTAGCGCCGACATAGAGTTGCGGAACAATGTCGCCGCTGACGGGGGACGCTTTGACGTCTGCGGAGAGGTAGAGGCTAAATTAGATCTTATTGCTTAGGGCATAAAGATGATGAGATATTCTTTTTAAAAAGGTTGCTCAAAATTAAAATGCTGCTAAAACATTGGACATAAGATGTACAATACTTCGCGTACAGAATGAGGGCTACTATGATTTCATGTTTTCGGTCAATAGATGGCGCTAATATAAAGCCTGACTATGTTTTAGATCAATAGATGGCGCTAATATGAAGTCTGATTATTCAATCACACTATTGTCAAAAATGTAATGTCCAATGGTTTGATACTAGTTCATTGTAATCTATTAGACAAACAATACTTAGTGACTGACTAGAAGATGATTTTTTTATGTTGTCACATTTTCATTGCAAAGTATTAGTAAGCTACTATGTTTTAATAATAACAATCGTGAGCCATACAAAATTAATTAAATATCGCAGGTCACGTGAATATACTGAGAAAAGCTCTACTAGTTTCGAACCACAGAGGGATTCTTTCTCATTAGCAATGCGCGTGGCTGCGTCGATATCGCGCAGCCTCTGTGGTTCGAAACTAGTAGAGCTTTGTTCTCAGTATATTCACGTGAGTATCCCGCGGTTTTTAGTTAAGTAAGCTACTATATTTATAAAGACAAGTCATTTATAATCCCCCACCTTCTGTATATGGGTGCCCCCCTCGGGCCACATGTCGGCGAGGGACGCGTTCTGCGAGGAGTGCAGGAGACGCTTGAGGTCCTGCCACAGCGAGTCTTTGTTCTTGTCCATGAAGCCCGTTATAGCGTACGTCACGTCGCCTGCGTAGTGACTATCGGCAACAAATTTAGATAAAGGGTATGTTTAGTTGTAGTGAAAAGATGAATAAATCATAAAGAATTAAGTATATTGAAAACAATAAAGGACAGATAATTAAGATATTTGTAGTATTTTGACAACGACAAATGAAGTTTTAATACAGGTGAAAGTAAAAATATCACGCAGGAGTGATAGTGTGGCGCAAAGTATCTTTTATTAATTAGTGGATTTACATTATTAGAATTGGGATGATGACAGGGTATGAAAGTTAAAAATCTAATTAGTCCGTAAGTTAGGTAATGAAAAAATATTAGACACGTATATTTTTATTTTGTCGTATAATAAAACAATACTTAGATAAAACGAATCAAAGTTTAGGAGTGGGGGCTAAAACGTCATTTCTACGTATAAAATGTACATAGAAGTGACGTCACGCGAAATCTCAAATCAATATATCGTCGAAATAAAAATACGTGTCTAATGATTTCAAATAATCTACCAGACGGACATTAAAATAAAAATTAGGCATCTACCTTATTAGTAGACAAGTTACGTAGTTTACTTACTTTTCTATTTTGTATATTTATCATATTTATTTATCGTTTATTTAGCAAAGCAATCTATGAGAAGTATACTCACGTAATTCTGAAGTCGACGCCATGCTTGAGTTTCTTGTCTGTGGGCGCGAGTTGTCGCGACGTGTAGTGTTTGTGGCCGTTCAGTCTCCTGTCCATTGCTTCCAGTAACTGTTTGTCTGATATCTGCACAAATATACAAGTCAAGAAAAATCAACATTCACTGGATTAACATAGAATCGACAAAAGGATTTTACGAAGTTATCATAACATAACATCGCGCCTTTCATTCCAGAAGGAGTAGGCAGAGGTGCACATCATACCACTGTACAATGTAACACCCACTTTTCACTATTTATCTTATGAGTCCCATGTAATAGGGGGTGAGCCTATTGCCATATACCGGGCACATTTCCAGACTCCGTGCTACTACTGAGATTTTGAAAAACCCAGTAAAACTTTGCCGACCCGGGAATCGAACCCGAGACTTCTTGCCCGGCAGTCGCACTTGCAACCACGCGGCCAACGAGGCAGTCGAAAAAATACGAAAGCAATGTGTCCTATCCTTTTTAGTTTTTTTTTTTATTTGTCTTTGAGGTATGTACCTTGGTGGGGTTGAGGCAGGCCTCGTCCATGATGGCGATGAGTCCCTGGTGCGGCGCGTCCACTAGTTCACAAATGACGCGGTTGTTGAAGTACTGGATCGGAGTCCACTGGATACCCTCGCGGGCATACTCCTCCTGCTCCTGCTTCAGCACCAGCTCTGGAATAACATGTTCATATTATGATCGTGCATCGTACTTGTATTTCTATTCTGTTATTTGTGACACGGGAGAGTCATGCCGCACCACGAATGGGCCAGATCAACCGGCGTGATACCGCGGCCTTATATAACACCGGCGTGAAACAACGCTTGCATCGTGTGTCGCCGTATGAGTGAGGTTACCAGAGGCCAACTACCCCCACCTCTTATCTTTAATCCCCAAAACTTTAAAAGGACAGTAATGCCGTTGTAACGCCTTTGGTGTTGTAGATGTCCTTGGGCGGTGCCGGTTGCTTACTATCAGGTGATCAGGCTGCTCGTAGTACTAAATAGAAATATATAAAGTACTAGCTTTCACCCGCGGCTTCGCTCGCGTCACAAAAGGATAAAAAGTAGCCTATGTGACATATATCAATACACACAGCGCCATCTATACTAATACTTTTGTTTTCCCTAGGGAATGTCAAATTTTTCCGGGATAAAAAGTACTTTATTATTTAATCCAGACTTCTAACTTTACGTCTGCAAAAATTCAAAGCAATCGGTTTAGTAGTTACGGCATCAAAGCGGAACAAACAAACAAACAGACTCACTTTCCCATTTATAATATTAGTAAGGATATTCTTACCAATAAAGAGTTGTTGCAGCTTCTCGTTACAGTAGTTGATACAGAACTGCTCGAAGCTATTGGTCTCGAATATCTCAAACCCGTAGATATCGAGTACGCCTATCAGAGTACTCTTATACGTGCCGCTCGGGACGTCTATCGCTTTGTTTATCTGAAAATGAAAGTTAACTTTAGTGGCTGAAATAATAAGGGTGATATTTCTTTGACAATCTTCAACAATATAGGATTTCTGCCTAATTTTTTTTTTTAAACGTTGCCCCACACTATTATTTTTTCCTGTGTCGTGGGTGCGTTTACAAACATACAGTATCACATACACATGCCACCCAGACCCGGAACAACAATCTGTGGATCACACAAAGAGTTGTTCCGTGCGGGAATCGAACCCGCGACACGTTGCGCGGCAGCCAGTTGCCCAGCCACCGCGCCAACCGTGCAGTCATGTTATGTTATGTTAATTTAAGCCAAAATCTTTAACACATACAGTTTTTTTTTAATTCAAAGAAATATCGTTCTTGAAATCGTCTAGTGTTCTAAAGAGTCATTACATTACTAGCATTAATACTAGGTAACACACCAACCTGTTGCACAATCCACGTGAACAGTCTATCATAAGCAGCTTTTGCCAACGCCAGCCTCGTATAGTTGGCATCCATCAAGGAATGTTCCTTGTTGACGAGGTCTCCTCCAGCAGACAGCACCCTCCCGGCCATGGACGAGCGCAGTGCCTGCTCCGACACTCCCAGCGCACTCGTGCACTGCTTCACTGGACCTCCGATGACTAGCTGGCCGTCTTGGGACTCTGTGAACGTTAACTCACCCTGGAAGAAAGTGGCAACGTTAGTCCTATACAATACTAGAGGTATTATGTGATTATAAAGTGCATAAGTGTCGTGGTGGCACGGAAGTTCAAGATGCCTACTTTTCATACACAAGGTTGCGAGTTCAAAACCTACCAACGGCAAAGTACCAATGTGACATTTTGCGAGTTACATGTACTTTCTAAGATTATTTAAACACTTCTGACAAACGGTGAAGGAAAACATCGTGTGGAAACCCGGGCTTATAATTTCTAATCGTAAGTTTGAAATTGCCAACCCGCATTGAGCAAGCGTGGTTATTAATGCTCAAACCTTCTCCGTGTGAGAAGAGGTCTTTGGTTAGCAGTGGGCACTTATAGGCTGTTAATGTTAAAGGTGCGTAGACAATCTGATAAAGGTCACAGGAAGGCACTACATGCAAGTTGCTTCTAAATGTTGCTCTTCCGATCCGAAAGTTATTCGGAAAGGTCTATGTGACGCAGATGAACGTCTTGTTGCTCATATAATGACGTGAGGCCACATAGGTGAAAGCAAATTTCAAATCATGTAAGAATTTACTTATTGCAAATCCTAGACTTCTTACCCTGCAGTACAATGTGCAATTACTAGGTAGCCTAACAAAGTAACAACGCAATAGATTAAATATAAAGATAAGTCGACTTACCAACAGAATAACTCCAGCCACAATACTCCATATATCATCGAGCACAGAGTTTGTGAACCCGAGCGCAGTGAACGCAGAGTTCGTCTGATTGAACAGCTTCGAGTCTTGTGCCGTGGCCCGCTCATTGCCAAGTATCTGGTATACTGCACTGGATGACAATCCATACTTCTTTGTCGTCGCGTTGTTTGTGCTTAATAGCTAGAAATAAAAGCAGTAACTATCGTCAGAATAACTAAATAATATAATTGGAGGTTACTTACGTCAGTATGATACGGGCTCCGGATGAGTTGGAAACTGGTCGGACACTTCCCGTAATACAAGAGTAGTTATACAAGATTTTATTTTAATGTTCGTCTGGTAGATGAATTAAAAAAATAAGAAACGTATTTTTTCTTTTCTTACAAAATTCAATACTTTCGACGATATAATAATGTGAAATATCGTGTGACGTCACAATACGCTACATTTTGTTGCACTTAGTGACGTAACGACCTCCTACTCCTAAACTTTACTCCATTTTATCTAAGTAGATATTGTAACTTTATACGAGAAAATAAAAAAATACGTTTCTAATATTTTTTCATTATCTAACTGACGGACTAATTAGATTTTTAATTTTCATTCCCTGGCAACTGCCCTATGACGTGATTACAAATAATCAACAGACAGTATGTAATGTTTCATTTTATTCCAAATCGGATAAAATAAGACATGCATAATTGTCTGTATAACTTCAAACAAATCGAGATGATGAACTTTACCCGACCAAAATATAACAAACTGACGTTCATCGAGTATTGTCGGATGACTCGGATGTCGAAACGTAGACTAGTCTATCGTGGAACGTAAACAAGCAAGTATTATAGTAGTGGCAGTAATATTTACTGTTACCGTGCGTACTCAACGCGTAACTAGATGTTGTTTACTAAACAGACATTACTAACAGCCATTGTAATAATTTTGTGCGATTTAGGATTTCTAGTTTGAAGGGTAAAGTTATTTTTCTTTAATAAATGATGATTAGTTAAGGAACGTCACCATCTATCATTAATTACCTTTGGAAATATGCAACATGTTTAGCAAGCACGTTGAAAAAAGGCTTATAACAACAAGTGTTGCTCCTGGCTACTATAGACTTACACGCAGAATACACACACATTGACACGAAGGACATCTGTCGCGTGACATGACCCGTCATTTCACTTCATGCGTTACGGTGTTCCAAGTACACGCACACATAAATACACCACTGACATTTTGGTGCTTCAATCATGTGTAAGTGACATTACGTTCGCATTATTTTCAACGTCCTTTATGTTTATTATAAGACTTCGTATTTTCTCTGTTATAGATACTTCTTGTTTTTATGCATTCCACACTGATTCATTCCCCTATATTTTGAAGATGTCTTCCACACAAAAATTCGATAGCCTATTCATCACGAAGAATAAGAACAATAATAATCAATACATGTTATTCAATTCTTTGTGACGATAAAAATATTACTTATTTAGGAATTACCGAATAAACAGTAAATACAAGTAAAAATATACCTAAATTTCCAGGATTGACACACAATTGATATTCCTATGTATACGAAATATTAGGAATTCCATTAAAACATAATAAATTAGACAACGGCACGGTGGACAATACTCGACACGGGTGACGTCACCGAACAATTATTGGTAGACCGATGATATAAGACGCTTATTTATAAATATCGCATGTAATGAACTAGATGCTACTCCGAGATACGAGTATTATGTGATTTTCTGATGCCTAGAGAATCCTAGATTTTGGAGATATTACTTAACTACTTTTGTTCCAAAACAAAGTATGAATAACATGGAGCTGTATGTTACTTAGAGCCAATATCTCAATCAAACAAGCAAGCTTATTTAAACACTCCAATGTTTTCATACTCACACTCAACAACAATGGGGATGATGACAGGGTATGAAAATTAAAAATATAATTAGTCCGTAAGTTAGGTAATGAAAAAATATTAGACACGTATTTTTTTATTTTGTCGTATAATAAAACAATACTTAGATAAAACGAATCAAAGTTTAGGAGTGGGGGCTAAAACGTCATTCCTTAGTATAAAATGTACTGAGAAGTGACGTCACGCGACATTTCAAATCAATATATCTTCGAAACTATTCGTTTCTGTGAGAAAATAAAAAATACGTGTCTAATGTTTTTAAATAATCTATCAGACGGACATTAAAATAAAAATTAGTCGTCTACCCCATTTCGACATTTCCAACTTGGACCTTAACACCTCAGAAATAAGTCTCACCTGATAAAACGCATGGAAGTTCCTCTCCCCTGGTTGTAAGGACACCACTCTGCTCTTCTCCAGCAGGTAGTTGCTGATATGTCCTCCCACGGGGTCACCTTTGTAGTCGAAGTGGATATCCATGTACTTGCCGAAACGTGACGAGTTCCCGTTACGATTCGTCTTCGCATTACCAAACGTTTCCAATATAGAATTTGATTGGATTAGCACATTTTTCACCCTGAAACAATGTAATTAAGTCCTATAATTCCTTGACAGGTATATTTGGCAATTTTATTATAAGCACTTTTTTACATTGAACACAATTCCAATTTCCAATATTTGAATTCTAAATGAACAAGCATTACTAATGATTTCCCAGAAGGGCTTCGACGCACCCTAGTTTATACTGTTTATGAATACAATATATGATGTACGATGGGTGAGCCTACTGCATCAAGTTTTCAAATGTTTCTACATTACCTATACTTGTTTGTAAAGAATAAATTACGACGAATTTAGTATAAGAGAAGCTATTAGAGTTCCCCAAAACATGCTTTCTCTTACATGCATAATAATATTATTATTGTTTGCAGCTCGGTCGTATCCACAAGTAACATTCCTATCAGTCTATTGATAAAACACAATAACGTGCTTTGTACATTACCTGTCAATATAATCCCTGTGAACTTGTGTTGTGTTAGCCGCTATATACTTCATTATGAACTTGGATGCCTCCGTCTTCCCTGACCCTGACTCTCCTGATATTAGCACGCATGTGTCTTTACCCTGAAACAAAATTTAAAATATGAATATTTTTGAACTTAAAATATACGTAATGGACAACCAGCGATAGATATGTGGTTTACTTTACTACTAATCATCAATTGTCGTTTGTTTGATGGTTTAGCTTAGATATCAGTAAGAAGTGTGCAAAACAAAAAGACACTGGGTGGTCTTCTGAAGTAAAACTATTTTATGATGTTTGACATACATGGAAAACGTAACTTTAATGCTACTAAATCAAGGTTTAAAGTTTATGGACACGCATAAACATCAGTCTTCTAAGGTGCCAATCCTTTGCGCGTAAGTACTATAGTAAAATGCAAAGTACACTAAAAACCGTTTGTTAATTTACAACTTCGATTCTAGTGTGTTGGAAAAAGAACCTTCTTAGTTCAGGGTTAAAGCTTCAGTTTAACCTTCAGCTTGTATAAAAGGCAGTTGCACTGAGGGCATAAATGCTAGGCTTTAAAGGCAACAGCAGTTAAAGTCAGGTCGTACTAGAGGTTTGTTTGTGTTATAAAGGAAAGAATTTCTTGACAAAGGTTTATGTAGCTTGTGTAACCGTTATAGTTTATAGAGATTACTGGTGTTGTCTTTTTAGCATCTGTCTTTTTATCGCACAGGTATGGAGCAACGTCTGTTTTTTTTTTATTGTTTTGCAAATATAAATATGCAGATTGTCGGACTCTGTTCGAAGGAAAATAAGTAAATCCATTCTTGCTTTTTATGGACGCTTGAATCCAAAACACTAGATTTTTTTTCGAAATGCTTCGACGTTTTGCCACCATCTAATCTGGTGGTTAGCGATGATGCGACCTACGATGCAGCACGCCCACTACATAAGCGACTATAAGCAACTTATTCACAGGGGCCTTAAAAACATCCAAATTATACTCTTCAGGAAACACAAACTCAATTTCTAATAAAGTTTCTCACCTGTTGCCTAAGAACCCTTTGGCAGGCGTCAGCAACAGCATAGACGTGTGGTGTGACCTCGAACATCTCCCGGCCTCTGTACTGAGCCATGTGCTGCATACTGTAGATGTCGAGGTTCTTGTACGGGTTCACGGAGACCAGCACCTCGCCAATGTACGTGTAGATTTTGTTGTGTTGAAACCTGACGAGAACAAAATATGAAGGATTAGTTAAGATTAAGGAAGGAAGGGAGTGCTTCGCATTGTCTTTGAGGCATATTTCCAATAAATAGTATAAAACAAAGTCGCTATCCGCCGTCTGTCTGTCCCTATGTATGCTTAGATCTTTAAAACAACGCAACAGATTTTGATGCGGTTTTTTTAAATAGATAGTGTGATTCAAGGAAGGTTTATATGTATAATACATGCATATTGCACCCGTGCGAGGCCGGGGTGGGTCGTTAGTTTCAAATAAACTATGGATTTTGTTCATTTGAACTAGGGTACCAATCTAAGAATGTATTAACGCGTGGTAGCTAGCTCAATACAAAACCTATACTGTAAAGTTTTAAGCTACTATAAAAATATATAGTTTACGATTTACTTAAGTTTAATCGCAAAATAATAAGTTATGTATTTTGCTCTAAACCTGAACTTGAACTATGGTGCGTGGGAGGTGAATTATCATAACTAAATACGTTTATGGCGCGAAGATAGTTAATGAATACATCATAAAGTCACACAAGTATGGACATCTGTCCAACGTCTAGTCAAGATAAGCTAACAACTTATAACAATGAAGTTCTTGTTATTAATGTGGCTGTTGCTTGACAATGAAATCTTTGGGATACATTCCAAACCAATTAAGTATCAAATAAGCAATTGCATTACTGCTCTTATACAGTAAAGGACAAAATAAAAATAATTTTACGTAAAAACACAACTTAATTTAAACTTTTAAAGCATTATTATGATGTCTCCTTAAGTCTAACTTATGATTACTTATGTCATGTTCTGTCTGTGCCAAAGTCATTTAACAAACACGGCGCCAAGTCTGGAGCTCGACCCACACAGATAACTTAATCATTTCCTTAAAGCCGATGACATAATGACCACAAAAATGACGTCACGGTAAACAACGTGAAATAATTCAAATAATACTTAAAAATCAATTAATAGTAATGACAAATGAAGTAGAAAATCTATGAATAGCATGTCAGACGCGGCTCATTGCCTCCATTAAGATTTTTACACGGCTCGTTGAACAATTTGTTATGAGGTGTTAATGCTGATCCGTTGACCATTCCCAATATATTTAAGTGCAGGGTTTAAAAGATAGGAACAATTGGTCTGTATGTTTTTTTATATGGGGGCTTTTTTTAAGGGGGGAAAATTATCGAATGACTGCTTCCGCCTAGGTGAGGCGGGAGGGAGTGTCAGACTCTTAGTGACTAAAAACCATCCCGTTCCTTCTCGTGCACGTCGAGCCGGAGCCCCGGTAACCCGTTAGGTTCTCCGCGACATATATATGGGGGCTAGCTGTGACTTTGGCCACCATTTACATAAATATGATATCATAATAAGTACGTGATGGAACACAAAAGCCAAGAATAAAGCCAACCAGCAAAAAAGGGAAACCACAATAAATACGAGCATTCAATGAGATATTTTTACCCGATTTCTTCGAAAGCATTAAGACTGAAGATCGGGGGATATTTTTTGTGTAGGCAAAACTGGTTATGGTACGAATGTGCGATCTGCTGGTAAATAGAACTACCACTGTGTTTATTACGAGTGAAGCCAATAAATCTTAACATAGTATATTATACATTATCATGGCATGCCTATGACGGCTATAACATCATCACTGACGCATCAACAAGAACCAATACAGTATTATAATAAGGTAAAAATATTTTCCATTTACCTAATGGAACAAATAATACTTTGGCTTGAACACAAACTGTTGGACATAACTTTCAGGCAATTTGAATACGAAAAGTATGGCTGTGATGCCGTGCCGAAATTCATAACCTGCGAGGTTATTAGGCCATCGACCTGATGCACGCGACAATGGCGGAGTCGGCCAGATGCTAACCGTAGATGTGACGGACAAATATGTAACTTTACGTCCACACGTAGTTAAAACTGATGATGTAATGCTTACATCTGGTTTAATGAGTATTGTGGACTTGGAGTTAACTAAGATTACGATATTTTTACAAATAATCGGTTATGAATGATTGTTATAATGATAGCAGTTTTGTAAATCAGACCAATTTTATTTATACTTAATCTCCAAAGTGCAATCTACATTGGTTAATCAATAGACTGTGTTGAGTCTTATTTCACTTCGAGGCAATTACATCCCTTCTGCTCAAGCAGGATGAAAGTAGGGCACCGTTTTATTTCATGAACTTAAAGAACAATTTTCTCATTCCTAGTTCTAGCTATAAAAACAAACAAAGCATGTACCTACTCGTAAAATCTGGCAAAAAGAAGTTGATCGGTGTTCGGTGAGTCATCCAAAACAAGAAATCGATTACGAATTCATTATAAGTACATGTATATGTATGCTATGAGTAAGAGAACTAATAAATATACGAGTAAGATCATTTACACATCTATTATATCCATAAATATGTATTGAACCTTCAACGTCATCATATTTTTATCCCATCGGAAGCTTCCTTTACTTTGAATAATTGAGATTTTATGTATATGAGCATCTTGAACAGTTGTCGGTCTTTTATGATCATCAAGGTCTCTCAAAAGTCTCCCTGATTCATCGAGGATCAAATTTACATGGACTTTAATTCATTTGGACGTAGCTACAAAGGTTTGAGTGCTTTCATCATTACTAATACAAACATTTTTCATCTTTATGTATTCTGTGCTGACAATAAAGCCGTATGTTATATTTAAGGGATCTCTACTGGAAATAGAAATACCTACGCCATACCAACATGGTTCCCTTTCGAAGAATTTTTAATTAATCAAGTTTAATCGTTTATTCTATTTCTAAAGTCATTAATCCTGCAGCGAATATCGGGGAGAAATCCGCTAACTTACAAAAGCATAGAACCAAAACAAATCGAAGCGTGTAAAGCTCGGCGCACGCGCAGATGACGTCATGTAGATCGCGCGCGCCGCCCGAGTGCCTCGCAGGCCGGTTTTTAGTTCAAGAGCAGAGACCGAGGTCAGCTGTACCATGATCTTAGGACATATGCTACATTCCCGGCTATCGCACAAACCAATGATACAATCGGGTTCCGGATTAAGTAGATTAACTTATGCTCAGGCGTGACTTGACAGTATTACTCGTATTATAATACCGAACAAAGTAATTTCAACAACGCTAAAGTTCACCGGCGCTTGTGCCGTTATTTGTGTTATAGATCATAAACTCTCTTGATTCTGTTATTGTGTTTGGACGATTCAAATTGTAATAAAAAGAAACAATGAATATTTTTAGAAATGTCAATCAGTCCATTACGCGAACGTTGATATTTACTGCAGAAATCCGCATTCAAACAGTTGAATAGAAGACCGATCACGCAGACAGACGACTCATTATTACAAAACTGTTTTCAAGGAAGCAGTGGGGAACCTTGGTTCCAATTGGTTGCCCATAAAATTAATTACTTGCAGTCTGGACGCTTAACACCTGTCGTCACCTTGAACCTATCCAAAATGTACGCACTCACCACATACGTGGACCCCACATTGTATGCTAATGTTACTGGGAACGGAGACCAAAAGGGCTTGGACAACACAACGAAGATTATCTACCTCTATACATGTCAAAGCAAACATTACAAGCTATTGAGACTTCTATTGGCTAACGGTTGAGTCATCGCTTTGGTTAGTCTGCCATACATCATGATCTACTATGACTAAGTCATGAGCATGGGTGTAAACATTGTAATAGCTCCTCAATTATCACAGTAAAAACTCTTATTATAAACGTTAAGTCATTCAAAGAGGTTCCCATAATTAGTTGTTCATTTGCATTCAGTTAATTACTGTTCACGGCATCTAAAGACGAGTCTGAAGGTCGTTGGATATATTTATCTGAGAGTTATTGCTAAATTACTGTAAATAGACACGCTTTAAGTGAATTCATTATATTTATTCATGAAGCCAAAACCGCTATAACATATGCTTTACATTAGTAAAGAAACCACATCGACGCATGCATACGAGTATATGGAACTTCTAAATAATCCATTATCCATTTTCCGACTAGTTTGTTATATTTTAAAACCCATTGCACGTAATACAATACTAGTAAATATTGTAACTGATTCAATACTTGAGGTTGGATGATTTCATTCCTACTAGTAATAATATATGATTACCTTGCCCTACGTATTAGGTCAGGACTTCCCAACATGACTCACCTTCATTACGTTGAATGTAACCACACCAACCCTACCCATAATTGTCCTGTCCCTTTAAACTGTCAAACACCAAGCGGTCACCGGTGACCGCAACCTATTGTTCTTTAATTGTGTCTATAAATACGGTACTCGACGAGTTAATATAGTTATTGGCTTTTAACTACAACTTCGCTATGCGCAGAAGTCTAAACTCATCGCCATGGGTGTTATAAACATCAAGAACAGAATTTATAAAAGCAATCTTGAGAATGCCTCGAACCAAAATGTCTTCAACATAAAAATAAACTGCTGTATTATATTTTAAGCTTCTTTGAGTTAGATTCATGTTCAAATATAGCAGAGAAAAGAGACTCCAGTGAAAACAAGTGGTGTAATCTTCCGCATCCATGTCTATTACTGCAAGAAAGTGCTAATTACTTCCATTAACGCTAAGATCATAATCACCAAGGTTCGAAGCAACTATCAGTAGGTACTGTAGTTAAGAGGCACTTCTTCGGTATTGAAAATTGCCAGGTGTTTCCTTACTCATTCCACGGCAATCAGATAACATTTCTAGAGATAAATTATGGACATATTTGCTTGAAGTATCAGCAAGGGATCTTGGCTGACAGGTTTTGGTTTTTGAAATGAGTTAACGAGAGACCTAAACCTGGTCAGCATCTTTTGGTTCATCGTCTAGCGAAAATAGGAATCCAAATGCTATATTCATTCAGGACTCCTTTCTTCTGTAATATCAACTATTGGTCGTACGCATGGCTTTTTTATAATATAATACAATGAATAGAGAAGGAAACCATACA